ACAAATGACAAAGATGACATCTTTAAGTCCTACATGCCCTCTAAATTCCTCATGACCATCTTCCTACGAGATTTTCTAAATCAGGGATTTAAGGCAAAACATAGGAGAAATAGGATTAAAGAACCTGTATGATTTGAAGATTTCATCTTTGTTGTTTGTTGGGTTTTAGGTAAATCAGAAATTATTTCTAAATAGGATCGTTAATAATAATAATAACAAATGTTGATTAAGTTTCACTTAATTTCGTAAATTAATTAATTTAATTGCATAATTATTTATATATTATTTTCCTAAATAGTGTAGGATCACTATTTGAATTGTTGAATTCGTAGAATAATCGCGTTTGTCGCTTTGAGGTAAGTAATTATTTTTTATTAGAAGATAAAAATATCATTCCTAGTTAGGGGCGTTAATCTTTGTTATTTATAGTAGATTTTTAGTTATTTTATATGTTTGTCAGTCCCATCTTGCTATTTATTTTTTTTATATAAGTTTCATTTATTTGCTCATAAGGAAGTAACTAGATTGCTTAATTTATAGCCGCAAGATTTCTTGCATAATTGAATTAATTCTGCACTTATGATATTTTGCTTTCTTGCACTTTGCTTGTATGAATTTTTATTCGTCATATCACAAGCCTTCATGAAAAAACATATTTCTTATATACTGTACCTGTGGAAATTTGGTATGCTTGTGTGTGATGACATGTAGGTCGGATGAACTCTTTTGGAAATTGGCTAATCGGGCCAACGAGTTCACAGAGTGCGACTCTACAGAGAACCATCCGATTTTCCTAGGTTGGTAATGACCTTCCAGGTTTCATTGTGTCTGTTAAAATCGACTATATAAATAATAAATGAAAAATTGAATAATAAGAAATTTGATTGGAAATGACTACATGTTTTCTTTTGATAATTAAGCATATTCGATGGTTATTACTCTCTTGTTGCTTTATGAAGTTATATATGCTTGTAGTAATTGTTCTTTTTTTTGTTCATACTGTATGTCCCATTTCACTTGTAGTTTATGTTTTAATAAGTAGTAGTTATTTACTGAGTTTGACTTTCCAACTCACTCCTTGATATTTAACATAACAAGTTCTATTCAGCCACCAACAAAACCATTTCCACTGGAGCAGACTTAACAATTTTAGATTTTTTGTTTTGTTAGTTTTCTCAGTAAGTGCTTCAACTATTGTATTTTATTTTTTGGGTATTGACAGTCATTTTCAGTTGGCATTTAAGTTTTGATTCAGTCAATTTCTTGTTTCTCTTTAAGTTGTATCAGTAGACTATTAATTATGTAATAAAATTAATATTTATGTTTTTATTCATGTTATTGTTTGCATATAAATTTGTCTTTTGAAAATACAAAATATGTTCAATTCATTTTATCATGTCTTACGTTACCACGGTATGACATTTGATCCGCGGATCATTACAATAATTGAAATTGAAGGAGGGGGTAAATTGAATAAATGAAAAATTAGCTAAAAGGAGAAATGATGGTAATATGAAACTATATTCTTGTCTGAAGCACAAAAAAAGGAACTTTAAATGTAATTTCATGTTTATTTGCATTCCATTTTCTTTACAGTTTATATTAAAGGATGCTTATGACGTTGACCGTATTGAGAAATGTTTTGAATTCATCTTCAAATTTTGTTTGTTGTTGTTGGGATCACAAATCAGTTTCATCATTAGCCCTAGCTTTAGGTTTCTGGGTATTCTAAGGATTTCTCTGGTAATCATCATCAGTTATCATCACCTGATTTCTTTCTATGTTCTCTTAGAGTACTCTCCTCCTATTTCTTTTTCTTTCTCTTATTGCTACTTAATTCCTACGTTCTCGGGCTTTTACTTGCACCGGTAATGCCATTTCTTGGGAATTTCTTATTTGTTGCTAACTTCTACAATCATGAAATCCTTGTATTTTGTAGTTGATTGCTATATTCTTGGAATTTTCAAATTTTCACTAATGCTATAGGCTCAAAATTCCCTTGCAATTACTAAATGGTGCTTCTTTAGGAAATTTTTGATCTTCTACACTATTGAGACCTCTTCAATGTTGCCTTGAAATCTTTTTTCTTATGTTTCAAAATATGAATCCAAACTTTCCTTGAAATATTATTGATGAAGGATTTAACATATGTTAAAATAAGATTAGGTTTCCCAATATTCGAGTGTATGTAATCAACAGTCCCTTCAGTACTTTGCTATCTTGCACCAAATTTTATCCGAGTTTGTTTACCAAAAATATAATGCTCACATAAATCAATTTAACTATAGTATCTTTTTCTAAGAACTCTTTGTGCATAACGTTTAAATCAAAGATGTCATAGCCTTTGTATGATATGTTTGTGTTACATTTGATATGTCCTCAGAATGAGTCACATTAATATTTATTCAACAACAACAACAACAACAATCCTTTATCCCATTAAGTGAGGTCGGCTAAATGAGTCTCTTTTTCTTTATGGTGTTCTATTGAGTGTCATATTTTCATTTAATTTTAATAAATTAAGATTATTTTTATGCAACATGCCCAAGTTTTTGTAGGTATTCCTCTAATATTCATAACATAAGTCAAATCTAAAACTTCTACTCTCCTAACAGAGTTATTAGATGGTCAACGTATAATTTTTACAAAATCATCTAAAGTTACTCTCTCTAATTTTGTTTGCCGTCCGAGCTACTCCATCCCTTTCACGGATATATTCATTTTGCATTTTGTTTCTTAGCATAAAACCACTCAACTTCTTGAACATTCTCATCTTAGCAGCACTTAACTAAAATTTATGCTTCTTTTTTACAGGCCAATATTCTGCGTCATAAAGCATTGCAGGCCTCACCACCATCTTATAAAATTTTTCTTTTAAGCCTAAGCGTACTTTTCTATCACACAATAAGCACAATCTTCCACTTCAATCATCCAACTTGAATTTTACTAATAATATCCCCCATCTATATCACCATCACTTTGAACAATAGACTTAAGATATCTAAAACGTTCACTCCTTTTAATGACTTGATCTTCCAATATTACAATCTAGCCACTAAATTTACTATTATTAATATTTCACTCAATGTATTCAATTTTAGATCTACATAAATGAAAGCCTTTAGACTCTATAGTTGACCTCCATAATTTAAGCTTTTTCTGGCTCTCTCTAGTTTTATCCACAAGAAGACTATCATCAGTGAAAATCATACACCGATGTAAATCCTCCTGTAAATGTCCAATAAGAACATCCATAACTAAAGCAAAAAAAATAAGGGCTTAAAGCTGATACCTGATGTAATTCAACAGAAATAGGAAAATGCTTGATCAATCTTTTTTTTGATTGAACACAAGTAACATATTCATATCTTTAATGAATTGAATATAAGCAATATCAACCCATTTCTTTTCTTGAACTCTCCAAAGTGGAATTTTTTGATAGTTTTTTTCTAAATCAATAAAAAATATATGTAAATCCTCTTTATTCTCTCAATATTTTGCCATCCGACCTTTCAATAAATGCTATCGTCCATAGTAGATCTGCCCGACATAAGTCCAAACTGATTTTGAGAAATTTTTATGTCACGTCGTAACCTATGTTCAATTACTCTCTCCCATAACTTTAATGTACGGCACATTAACTTAATTCTCACATTAACTTAATTCTTCTATAATTTCCACACTCTTTTGCATCCCCTTAATATATCACTCACATTTGTTATTGTTAGGAAAAATTTACCCAAACCACCACAACCCTCAAAAAAATTGAGCCATACATATTTTATAAAATCCTAACGTCTGCTATCCACATGTTGTGACCATCCATATTTTTAATTGGGTTTGAATCATCTTTATTAGTTAGTTAATATGCCCAAGTTTGTTCTCGGAAATCGATTCAAGGAATTCTAGTCTTAGTGTCTTTTTATAATTTTTTAATGCATGAGTTTTTGGGGGGGGGGGGGTTGTAGGGAAGGCCTAGGGAGAGAGAGAGAGAGAGAGATTGTGTTTAACATATTTTAAATATGGTGATTCAAAAGTTTGTGCACAATCAAGAGTTTTTTACAGCATGTCATTCGTAAAAGTTATACCATCCAAATCTTTAACATCACAAAAAATAGGGCATTTACATACATACCACATAATTCTTATGTTTTACATATCCAAGACCTAAATTTTCATATATGGATGCATACCACTCAAATATTTAACATCTTATAAAAAATACCACAATCACTATCTTTTTAAAAATAAAGTACTACTTTTTCACGCATAGTTTGTGACTTCAATGTGTTATTAAGTGTAAATATCAAACTTGGGGTGTTAGAGAATGTAAATACATAAGAATTGTGTGGTACATATGTAAATTTCTCTTGTTTTTTTTCCTTAGTAATCAACCATTTTCTTATCTGATTTTCTTTGATTGTTTGGTTGTGGCGGACTGTTGTTTACTTTACTGTTTGCTGTTTGTGAGGGAGATCTACGCTAATGCTGGAATGAATAGTGTCCTTTTGATTCAAATTTCTTTTTGAAACTACAGTAATATCTATTTCAAGCCTTATACTTTAATTGATGACATATTTCTTAAAGTGCATATTAATTGTCCTCGTCTTATGTGTACTTTTTGGCTTGACTTCAGCATCTCTGGTGTTGTTTTTGCTATACTTGAACTTTTGCTTTAGCGTGAGAGAAAACTCGGCTTTTTAGTTGTATTTGCATGGTTTTTCAACAAAATTAATTCTTTCACATCTGTAATTTCCATAATTTGGTATTTAAACTTGCCTATAATTTTGTCATATTAAATGCTGAACTTTTCTACAGCAATTGAACAGTAATCTGCTATTCCTTATTGAATAAGTATTGCTTGCAATTGTTCTAAAGCAATTGGATGTCAGGTGTTCCTTGAACTGGAACTCTTACCAGAAATAGTTATCTTAATCTAATTCTATATACCTTAAATTCAACATTGTTTTTGTTTATGTCACAATCCTCATTTCTTTCAGGGCTGTCGAGGTTAACTACTGATGAAAAACTTAAAGAAGCATTTTCTCCCTATGGCCAACTGCTTGAAGGTGCTTGATACAACAACATCAATATCTTTTGTTTCCTTCTGCATTCTAAAAACGCATATTTTTTTTTTGCTTAAAATTTCCCAGCAAAAGTTATCACGGATCGAGCCTCTGGAAGATCCAAAGGCTTTGGGTTTGTAAGCTATGCAACAATCGAAGAGGCAGATAAAGCTCGTTATGCGATGAATGCAAAGTTCTTGGATGGGTGGGTTATTTTTGTTGATCCTGCGAAGCCGAAGGAACGAAGGCCTTTCACTGCCTCGCCCGAACCTGAGGCTCCAGAAACCGGCTTCCGGACTAATAAGACAATTGGTTGGTGTGGATGATTAAGCAGAACATGCATACAAAGGTATTTCTCGTGTTTAAAAGAGTGTTAGAATATAAATTTTAGAGCTTGAATGTATCCTGAATGAATTATGATTATTGGTTATCATTTGCTTCAATCCAAGAAGGTTTGAAAATGCCATTGAATTTATGTTTTTGTGGTGCTGAATGTATTGTTAATTTTTGTAATTGCCTAGTGCCAATTGAACATTTTGATAATAGCAAGATGTTGTCTACTTCAATTTTTTGTGGAATTTGGATTTGTTATCTTTTACGTTTATGTTTTAAATGGGTTGTATCGACCTGAAACTTTACAATAAATGGGTTAAATAGGTTGGATTCTGGTTAAGTGGGATGGGTTGAATATTTTGATTATATAATAATCGAGTTGGGTTAACTTTGAGTTAACCCGAGTTTCTATTTGTTACTCTACATTGACACCTTTAAGAATAGGTATGGTTGGCAGGGTGAGGTATAAAATGATGTGAATGATTATAGAGATTACGGTGATGAGGAGAGATTTATAATTGAAAATACAGTTTTGAAAACATGACGGTAGGGCTGCAAGCAGGCTCTGGCTTGACTTGTGTTAGACTCGTTTGAAATTGCTCGAGTTTGAAATCGGCTCATTTTCAAAATTGGCTCGTGAATAGTGTGTTCATGTTCGACTCGATTTAAACTTTTTTTGTTCGTGTTCTTCTCATGTTTAGTTTGAAAGTTGCCATTAAAATTAATTGAAAAAAATAGATGTTGAGCGTTTGATTCGAATTTCACCAAATCTATGCAAAACAGACACATAATCACATTATTGCACGAGCTGTTATGATTTAAACTTGGATATAATTGTATAAAATATAATTACTATAAATAATATATATAATATATTATTATATAAATAATTATATGATTTTTTTGAGCTAAAACGAATAAAGACCTGTTTGTGTTCGCTTCATTTATAATTTGAGTTTTAAGAAATTATTTGTGTTCGACTCTTTTACTTAACGAATGAGTTGAACACGAGCTACTTAGCAAGCCGAACGAACAATGATTTTTTTTGACTGCCTGCGTGACGGAAAATATTTGCGTACATAAGACGTACGCAACGCTGCGTATACCCAGGGGTTATTTAGAGGGCACAAGGGGGTTATATCAGGGTTATACCCCTCTGTAATCCCCCTGTAACCTCTTTGTAAACTACCTGTAATCTACAAATGAGTTCAGCGCTTCTGTAGTTTCATGGGTACAAATAAGTTACATGGATGTTACAAGAGACTTACACGGATTTTACAGGGGGTATAACCCGAATATAATCCCCTTGTACCCCCTGAATAATCCTTAACGTACGCAGCGCTGCGTACGTCTTATAAACGTAAATATAGACATTGAATTGACATAGAGATTTAAGGTTGAAAGAGGGTTGAAAAGAGTGAGGCAATAAATATGTAAATATGATTTAAACAGTATATTTATGATATGATGGTGTTTTTGGCATACGGGATAGTCCATAAGGAGAGAGGGTCCAATGAGATCAACAAATCTTATTTTAATTCATATAATATAAATTTACATGCATAGCACACAATTCTTAGATATTTATATATTTGACATCTAAGTTTTCATATTTATGTTTGTAATACATTAATGTCATAAATCTATGAATGAAAATATGTATTTCATTAAAAAAAAAAAACAAGTTATACTTTTAATGTGATGTTAAATATCGGGAATGCTATACTTCAAATTAAATCCGGAATCCACAACTTACCGAATAAACCAATTACATCAAAACACGTGCCATCTCATTCACCGCTCGATTAGCAGCTAATGATCAACGGACCATATTTGCTAAACTCGCAATCCGTGACTCTCCCTTCCATCCAATGAAATTTCTTTCTCCAACCTATATGTAGAGCTCAGAAGTGTAGAAACAACGCATCAACAAATTCTGTGATCCTTCCGTACCTCAATGGCTCCTAAGGCAGAGAAGAAGGCGGCGGAGAAGAAGCCGCCGGCGGAAGAGAAGAAGCCGGCGGTGGAGGAGAAGAAGCTCGCCGAGAAGAAGCCGAAGGCGGAGAAACGGCTCCCGACCAAGGATTCCGGCGACAAGAAAAGGAAGAAGAAGGCCAAGAGGAGCTCCGAGACCTACAAGATCTACATCTTCAAGGTTCTCAAGCAGGTGCATCCTGACATCGGGATCTCAAGCAAGGCGATGAGTATTATGAATTCCTTCATTAATGACATTTTTGAGAAGCTCGCTCAGGAGAGCTCTCGCCTCGGCCGCTACAACAAGAAGTCGACTATCACTTCTCGCGAGATCCAGACTTCTGTGCGCCTTGTTCTTCCCGGCGAGCTGGCCAAGCACGCGGTGTCTGAAGGTACCAAAGCTGTTACCAAGTTTACCAGCTCTTGAATGTATGGTGTAGATTGTTGTTTGTAAGACTGACTGATCATTTTATGTATTTGGGAATGGAATGCGTATGATATGTGGGCTTGACTGTGGAAATGACGTTAATTTTGAATTCTTCTTCTTTCTGGATGAATTTTTGTTGTTTTACATTCAAGCATCTCCTACTGCACCTAGATTTTCTGGTGAAGCTGGCTTCTTTAGGTAATCAGAATGCAAATAAAAAATCATCTAGTTAAAATAACTGCATTGAATTAAGAGGCAAATACTTTGAACTCAAAAAACACTTTTTTGGCAGTGTTGGAGCCATAAAATAAAGGAGCATTGTGTGTGATTAGTTGGAAAGGTAATAATGGGATTGCGGCGCGTGGGTTCTGCCTCAAGTCATTAAATCTGATGGTGTTTTTGAGGTTTACTTTCTTTTTGGAAATTTCAAATGTTTAAACATATCGTTAAATTTCAACTTTGGCAATTAAACAAATAAATTGGAAGAGCCTCAAGTCCTTAGTTTGTAGATTGATTTTGACATTTATAATCAAAATGAACCTCTCAACTTGATGGACCTAGTGATGTTGAAAATAATCCTTGCTTAAAATGAGGTGGAGGTTGCAAACATTGAACACTTTATTTGGATTGTAAGTTTGCGGATTGTAAGTTTGCGGAAATTGAGATTATAGAAAAGTTTTAAGTTGAATTTCATATCATGTCTTGAGATTTGTCTTGGATGTCTTGAGATTTGTCTTGGATGATGGAGATTTATTGAGGTGTATTAATTTGAAATTTAAATTCAAGTTCATATGAGTCATGATTTTAATAAATTTATAATCAAAGTGGTCATCTTGAATTGATAAACCTAAAAATATAGAGTGCAATTCAATTTGTGATCAAAGGAGTAGGAGGTTGCAAACACTAAGGTGAAATGTTGACAACAACATTTCAACAATTTAGAGGATATATCTGTTGAAATAAAAATTTGATTTTGGGTTATTAGTTTTTCAGTCATAATTGTTTGAATAAAGCTAAATAAAAACTTAATTTATGGAAGTATGTTTTAGAAATTCTCATCTAAAAGTTTATTCTAGATTAATTCATAAAATTTTTTAAAATGTGTGATAAGTATGAAATTATAAATAGAATTTTAGAGAGTCATTTGTAATTATTAGGTTAGAATTGTAGTGATACAATTTTAGTTATTAATTTAGAAAACACTAGTATAAATATAGGTAAAGTCTTTGAGTTTGTATTAAACTAAAAAAATGAAAAGCAAAAGTATAGTTTCTTCCATAAATTTTTAGGGCCTGTTTGGGACAGCTTATTAAGATGCAATGCCTTAGTGTTTGGAAGTCACGTTTGGCGAACTATCTTGCCGCAATGTGTTAGCTTATCAAAAGGTGAAGATCTGCCCCTACGTTTAGCTTGTAACATTGCCTTAATTACCATTGTTCTCCCTCAAGCTCTCCTTCTCTGGATTCGTCACTCTATAAGAGATCAGATCGTATTCCTTTCGATTTTTCTTTCTAATTCGCAAAATATACTTTCCCTCACCGTCACTTCGTAAGGAATACTTCCTCTAGAGCGATCCAACATCAGTGGGCGTGAGTGGTTCTTTGTAGATGATGTGTGAATAATTCTTTGCGGAGATCCGACTGCAAGCCTTGTTTATTTTTCTTCCTTGACTGAAGATTTTTGTCTTCTTTGTTTTATTTTGAACTTGAACAATGCGAATGGTTCTTTACCCTAAAATTCATTTCGTTTTTTATTGGGTGTGAAGAAAAAAATTAGAGAATGAATTTCTTATATCGGGGTCGAATTTCGTTTCGTTTTTTGTTGCTCGTTTCGATTTTTATCGGTTGTTGCATGACCAAAGAATAATATCTTTACTCTTTTTTTCTTATTATTTCAATTAGAAAAGCAAGTATTTTTTATGGAGTGAGAAATAATGCTGCTTGGTTCATGAAAATGCTTATGAGTTGCAATTAATTCCTTTTTATAGACGCTGCAATTAATTTTTGTTTATAAGAGCTGCAATTAATTCATGTGTTTATGAAGCATAAGTATGAGCTTGGTTCATAAAAATGCCGCTATTAATTCCTGTTTGTGCTGCATATATATGTATTCATTGCAATCTCCATTGGTGGCAAATGCTCTGTTTTATTTATTATTTTTCATAAACAGTTTTGTTGCAAACAATTTAACCAAATAAGGGCAGAATAGTTATTTATCTAACAACAGTTCCCAACAATCTGTTTTGCATAAGCTGCCCCAAACAGTAAGACAACTTATTTTGATATTTTGCAGATTATCAGATTATCAAAATAATATGCTTATTAGCTGATTATAAATAATCAACAGTTGCCCCAAACAAACTCTTAATCTTTACCAAATCCTAAAAGTTTCTCTATTCCAACTAAGTGGTGTCAGAGTCTAAATATTCCTTTATAGAGCAATGACAAACGGTGACATAGTTTTCTTTCAAGTCCCGATACTTAAAAAAAACATGTACGACAGTTGGAGTATCAGGATGAAGACACTCTTTGGAGCGCATGACGTTTGAGAGGTTGTGGAGAAAGGCTACAATGTGCAAAGTGACGAGTTTGCTCTTTACAAAACATAAAATGATAGTTTAAGAGACTTGCGAAAGAGAGATAAGAATGCTCTCTTTTTCCATCTATTTAGCTTTAGATGAAGATGATTTTGAGAAGATCTCAAGTGTTACTTCGGCCAAGCTAGCATGGGAGAAGCTCGAGTTCTCGTATAAAGGAGAAGAGAAGGTTAAAAATGTACGACTTTAAATTTTAAGAAACCAATTTGATGTCTTGCAAATGAAAGAAAGCGAGTTGGTCTCCGATTACTTTTCTAGAGTCATTATCATTTCGAATCAACTAAAAATAAATGTTGAGAAGTTAAAATATGTGGCTATCATAGAAAATGTTTTTCGATTGTTTGATTCAAAATTTGATAGTATTACTACCATTATCGAAGAGATAAAGAATTTACAAGCCATAACGATAGAACAACTTTTGGGTTCATTATAAGCTCATGAAGAAAAGAAGAAGAAGAATGAAGAGATTGTCGAACAACTCCTCAAGGCAGATCTCCAACCAACTCAAAAAAGATGAAAACTTTAACAATATTAGAAGACAACATGAAAGAGGTAGTGGACAAGGATGAGGTCATGCTCGCAAGTAAGAATGGGGTATCAATAATAACTATGAGAAAGAAGAAAGCTCTACAAGAGGATGTGGTAGAGGATAAGGACGCCATCATGCTAATAAGCAAGAATGAGATACCAACAATAACTATGAGAAAGGAGAAAACTCTACAACAGAATGTGGTAGAGGGTGCTTAAACTCGAGATATAATAAATCCTAAATTAAGTACTATAATTGTAACAAGTTCGGACATTATGTAAAATAATTTAGAGCACTTAAGAACAAAGTTAATGAAAGAGTCAACTACATATAAGAAAATAGAGAAGAAGATGAGACTCTACTGCTAGCATATAAGGACAATGAAAGAGGTGAAGATAGTACATGATACCTATACATCGTTGCAAGCAATCGTTTGTGTGGGAGACAAAACATGTTCGTAGAGTTTGATAAATTAGTAAGCTGCAATATGTCTTTTGGAAATGCGTTCAAGATAAAGGTGAAAAACAAAGATATCACTCTCATTCATCAAAAAAATGGGAAACATCAATTTATTTTTGATGTTTACTTTGTGCCGAATATGAAGAGTAATATCTTGAGTTTACGACAACTCTAGAAGAAATGATTTGATATTCACTTGAAAAAGATACTCGTTTTTTAAAAGGCAATATTTGTAACTTGATTACTAAGGTGCTAATGGCTAAAAATAAAATATTTTTGCTCAACATTCAAAATGATATTATCTAATGTCTCAAAACCTGATATAAAGATGATTTCTTGGCTTTGACATCTTCGATTTGTGCATCTCAACTACGGAGGACTCGAAATTCTTTCAAAAGAGATTGTGAAAGGATTACCTTGCATCAATCACTATGATCAATTATGTGAAGTATGTTTACTCAGAAAAAACACTTCAAGAAAAACTTTTCAAAAGAGTGAAGTTCAAAAACCCAAAAACCTATTTAGCTCATACATACAGATGTTTGCGGTCAACTCAGTAAGAACAATTATTTTCTTCTCTTCATAGATGATTTTTCATGAAAAACATATGTGTATTTCTTAAAATAAAAATTAGAGGTTTTTTGAGAATTCAAGAAGTTTAAGGTAGATGTGGAGAAAGAGAGTGGTCTTGAGATCAAAGCTATGTAATCTGATCGAGGAGGAGAATTCGCTCCAAAAGAAATTCAAGAATTTTGTGTAGCCAACAGAATACGTTGACTCTTAGCTATTCCAAGATCCCCCAACAAAATGGAGTAGTGGAAATAAATAATAGAATCATCCTTGACATAGCAGGGAGTATGCTAAAACGCAGAGATTGTCGAAGGAGTTTTGGGCAGAAGCGGTTGCATGTGCTGTTTATTTGGCTAACCAATCACCAATAAAAAATGTATTGGGAAAGACACCACAAGAAACATGAAATGGAAGGAAGCCCGATATTCCTCATCTACGAGCTTTGGATGCATAACTAATATATACATACCCGACGAGAAAAGAAGTAAACTTGATGACAAGAATGAGAAGTTCATTTTCATTGTTTACGACACCAACTCGAAAGTCTACAAACTATACAGTCTAAATACAGGGAAGACAATCATCAACAGAGATTACATATTTGATGAAGGAGGAGAATGAGACTGATGATTAGATGATGAGGACTTCAACTTTTTCCCATACTTTCAAGAAGAAGACAGAGCAACCAATGATCGAACAAGCAAGAGATGAGCTTATTACTCTACAAACAACATTTACTACAAGTAGTGAAAGTGACTCATTGTCATGAACTTCAAGAAAAAAATTCAAGTGAAAGAGTATCACACTTCAGAAGATTACAAGATTTTATGAGATAAATAAGTATCAAGATAATCTTATTCTTTTTTGTCTCTTTGAGACTGTGAGCCCATGTATTTTCAAGAAGCCTTACAAAGCAAGAAGTGAAAAGATGCAATGGATGAAGAAATTAAAACAATAGAGAAAAATGTCACATGGGAGCTAGCTTCACTTCCTAAAGGGCATAATACAATTGATTTAAAGTGGGTGTACAAAATAAAGAAGAATTCCAAAAGAAGAAATTAAAAGATGCAAGACAAGATTGGTGGCAAGGCTACAGTCAAATAGTAGAAATTGTCTATGATGAAGTATTTGCCCCTATTGCTCGATTAAAATCTATTAGACTAACAATCTCTTTGACAACTCAAAATAAATAGAAAATACATCAAATGAATGTAAAAGCTGTCTTCTTGAATGAAAAATTAGAAGAAAAAGTACATTCAACAACCACGAGGATATGAAGTCAAAAGACAAGAAAACAAGGTTTTAAAGCTAAAAAAACTTTTTACGGGTTGAAACAAACGCCAAGAGCATGGAATAGCCGAATAGACATGTATTTGCAAGATAATAACTTCATAAAATGTCATAATGAGCATGCTCTTTACATCGATAATGAGGATGTAAATGTTTTGATTATTTGTTTATATGTCGATAATTTGATTTTCACCGGAAATAATCTAAGCATGTTTGAAAAGTTCAAAGAAGCAATGACAAAAGAGTTCGAAATGATAGATATTTGGCTCATGACATACTATCTTGACATTGCAGTAAAATAAACGGAAGACTATATTTTCATTTTTCAAGAAGGTTATGCAATGAAGATATTGAAGAAGTTTAAGATAGATAATAACCGATCTATAAATATCCCTGTAGAATGTGGAGTCAAGCTATCAAAGTATGATGAGAGAAAAAGAATTGATCCAACGATTTTCAATAGTTTGGTTGGAAGTTTGCGATACTTAACATACACAAAGTCTGATATTTTTTATGTTGTTGGACTTATCAGTCTTTACATGAAGACTTTGACTGCTACTCATCTGAAGACTGCTAAAAGAATTATGTGTTTTATCAAAGATACAATTGATTTTGACTTACTTCACTCATAATCTAACAATTTCAAACTTGTAGGATATAACGACAGTGATTGAGCTTGAGACATGGATGATAAAAAGAGCACTACAGTGTTCGTGTTCTTCATATGAGACACTGCTTTCACTTGGATGTCAAAGAAATAATCAATTGTTACTATTTTTACTTGCGAAACAGAGTATGTGGCTGTAACCTCTTCTATTTCCCATGAAATTTGGCTTCAAAACCTATTAAAGGAGTTTAGTTTATTACAAAAAGAGACAATTAAGATTTTGTATTGATAATAAGTCTGTTATAGCGCTAGCAAAAAATCCAGTTTCCCATGATAGAAGCAAGCACATTGATACACGCTATCACTACATCAAAGAATGCATTGAAAGAAAAGAGATACAAGTGCAGTACGTGAATTCTCAAGATTAAGACTGGAGACTTTATTAAAATGAGAAGTTTACTTTCAGTAACAAAATCTAGTTTAAGAGAGGGTGTTGAAATATAAACTTGATTTTGGGTTGATTTTTGGGTTATTAGTTTTTGAGTTTTAGTTGTTTAAATAAAACCCAATAAGAACCTAATTTCCGAAAGCATATTCTTGAAATGTCTCATTTAGAAGCTTATTCTAGAGTAATCCATAGAGTTGTCTAGAATGTGTGGTACATAGGAAATTATAAATAGAATTCTAGAGAGCCATTTGTAACAATTATATTAGAATTGTAGTAACACAATCGTAGTCATGAATTTAGGAGGTGCCACTAGTATAAATAAGGGTGGAGTCTTTGAGTTTGTATTAAGTTAAGAAAAGGTGAAAAATAGAGGTGTAGCTTATTCCATAAATTTTTAACCTTTGCCAAATCCTAAAAGTTTTTCTATTCCAACAAGAGGTGCAGTGAGATGACCTTTATTTTGCTTGCGATCTCCGGTTTCTAACCACATCTTGAAGTTGCCTCTCCCCCAAAATTTAGGAGCGGTTGGTTCCCTCTCAGGCTCCCTTAAACCTTCTGGTTGCCCATGATATTGACTTCTTTTCGAAAAACTTCAATGTTTAAATATTATTAATCTCAATCTAATCAATTAGATAAATAATTTGGCTTAGTACTTTTTATATGAATTTGATGTCTTATCAAGAAATTTTTATCAATCGAAATGAATCTCGATATATTTGAAGTAAAAAATATTTCAAATTTAAATTGAAGATTGCATGGGGCTCAATTTTATTAAATTTAGTCAAACTGAATATCCCAATTTGAAACAATTACTGAAGGTGGAAGTAATTTAAATTGAATTCAAAATAGCTGGAGGTTGCAAACACTTGTGTTGTAGTGTTGGCGGCTACATTTTAGCAATTTAGAGGGCAGGGGTGGAGTGAAACGACCTTTATTTTGTTTCTAAGACTGACTGATCATCATCTTATGTATTGGGAAATCGATAGTGCATCATATGTTGGCTTACTCATGTACAGATAGAAGCATAGAAGCCTATCATCTTTCTCACATGAAGGATAGTTAAGATAACCAGGGTGACTCGACGTCTGCCTACGTTCCATTCTCTTTGATCGATTATTTTTAAAAATTTAAAGTTTATGATGGTCTCGACATTCTTTAAATATCAAAATCCTTTCTGCTTACTAATGGACTGGCCTGGGGAAGTATCAACAAGCTTGACGATATCCTCCTTAAGAACATTATCAGTTCTGAATATACCGTTAGAGCTGACGATGATTGGACAAAGCAACTGTTGCCACAGTGAATGAAAGGGTATTGCACACTTCTTAAATATGTTCATACAAGATGGATAGAGTCACAATTTCACTTATATGTGATGTGACAAGTAATGTGAACTACAGCTACTTTTGTGAGTACCTCCAATCTGATAGCTGGCTGACTTTAATGATGGAGTGCTTTAAGTATAAATTGGAGAGTTTGTGTGTGAGGTATCTAATATTAAAGGTATTAATTGCTACGTATGTTAATCAGCCTAAAATTAAATATAAGGGCATTTATACATATACCACACAATTTTTATGGGTTCACATGCCTAATACCTAATTTTGATATTTGCATGACACTCAAAATTTTAATATTATATCAAAATAATAATATTAATAAATTTTAAAAAGTGAAATACATATTTATTATGCATAAAATAATGACAACAAAGTGTTATAAATTTAAATATCAAATTTTAAGTATTTGGTACATAAGTACTGCATGTGAATTGTCTTAAATATAATTGCTTGTAACAAAAGAATCTTATTTTAAAATTTTTTATTTGATGTGAGTGGGTGCCTTCTTATTTTTTTATTTGATGTTTTTAACTCATAATATATTAAATAGAAATAAAATAAAAAAATTTAGTGCATTTATCATAGTATAGTAGTTAAGGGTATAATCTCCTACTGTGAGGATGTGAGTTTAAATTGAGCTCACCTTTTCAAAAATAAATAAATAAATAAAATAATCAATAATCTTATTAAGTAAAAATGAGAATTAATTATATGGAGTATATGGAAGAGATTTTTCATCATCATATAAGATTTTGCTTCCCATCAATTAGTTTTTCACTTATTAGATTTTAAAGTAGAATGTAGTATTTTTTATGTGTTATGTATTGTATTTCTTTTACTCTTTATTTGAACTACATTACAAAAGAAAATATTTCATCCGAACACAACACGTCTAAACGATCAATGCACATTTTATGATTCTTTTTACTCTTATTACTCATAAAATGTGCATTGGACATAGAGTGTGCGACAAATCTATGTTTTTCCTTTTTTTTTTTTAATTGCCACTGTAATGTCCAATGCACATTTTATGAGCGCAAAGAGCTCGTTTTTGTCTATGGGTCCCGTCCTTTTCCCTCAGTTCAGCACATCTTCATTCTCTCCTCATTTCCCAACTATAAATCACACTTCCTCCCCTTCTTCCCTTCTCTCTCCTCAACGCTTTCTGCATTCTTCCAAGAAACTCTCTATAAATCAGCAAATCGCGACTTCAGGCTTTCTTCAAACTGGAAGGAAATGTCGTCCATCTTTTCTCTCGTGACGGGAAGGAGAGGTCCGAGCGGTTACGGCTCTGCATCCACCGCAGAGGAGGTCACCGACGGAGTCGATGCGTCCAACCTCACCGCCATCATCACCGGTAAACCATTTAATTCCCTCTTCTTTTAATCAGTCTTTCTTCTATATCGTTTCTTTATCAGCATCATTCCTTATTTTCAGCAGGCTATTTCTTGAATTTCTCCCAAACTTTATCATTAATTGCATTTCGGATACTTATGGTTTCATGAATTTTTAAGCACCATCCAATTCCTATGTATTAATATATCGCTAATATTCATCCATATCTAATTATCCAGGAGGAGCTAGCGGAATCGGCTCAGAGACGGCCAGAGTGTTAGCTCTCCGGCGAGCCCACGTCGTCATTGCTGCTCGGAAAATAGACGCTGCCGAAGATACCAAGAAGAACATCCTTAAGAGCAATCCAGCTGCTCGTGTGGACGCCATGAAACTTGATTTGAGCTCTCTGAAGTCTGTAAGAGAATTTGCAGATAATTTCTTGGCAGCAAACCTTCCATTAAATATTTTGATGTAAGTTAATTATCACTGTTACGTAATCTTTCTGTAGAAAATTTGATGATTTTACAGACTACGTACCTCGACGTTGACTTTGCGCCATTTATCTTCAGAAATAATGCCGGCGTCATGTTCTGTCCTTTTCAACTCTCGGCAGATGGTTTGGAGTTGCAATTTGCGACTAACCATCTTGGTTCGTATTGTTTCGTTTGCCTCTACATATCTAATGTCTAAACATTAGTATTTATATGCATATTGCTCAAATCTTTAACATCAGATTAAAAATATCGTCATAATTATCTTTGTAAAGATAAAATACATGTTAATTATCATGCACAAGTGTAAATGTCAAAGTTTAGGTGCTGTTAGATATGTAAATACATAAAAATTGTTTGGCATGAATGCAAATTTCCCTTAAAAAGTTTTTTTGGGCATTTACATATATGCCACACAATTCTTATGCATTTACATACCTAACAACTAACATTCGTATTTATTTCCATACCACTCAAATCTGTAACATCATACCATAAATATCAACTGCACCTTTTTCTTGCATAGATTTATGGCACTAAGATGTTATAAATGTAAATATCAAACTTGGGGTGTTGGATGTGTAAATAATAAATAAAAAATGTGTGGTATGTATGTAAATTTCACTCTTTTTTTTTGTTTCGTATGTGTTGTTTTGATGAATTATCAGGTCATTTCTACTTGACCAACCTTCTTCTTGAGAAAATGAAGAGAACGGCAGAGGACAGTGGGATTGAAGGAAGAATTGTGAATTTGTCATCCATTGCGCACCTTCATACTTATGAAGGCGGAATACTGTTTGATCATATCAACGACAAAGAGAGGTATGATAATGCTGATTATTTTAACAAACTAAATTACTTTTTATGAATTTTCTATGGATATTAATGCTTTTTTTGTTTTTCTTATTTCATCAGATATGATGATAAGAAGGCCTATGGACAATCGAAACTAGCAAACATATTGCATGCAAATGAGTTATCCAGACGATTGAAGGTGATTCTGATGCTCAATGCTACCTGATAGTTTTGCAATTTATTTAGTTCGATCAGTTTTATCCTTTGTTTTGGATCTGGTAAGTCTTAAGCTCGGTGTGTTGAGTACAGAAATAAGATGGGACATTTATTTGTCAGCTTTCAAACTATGCTTTTGATGTCTAAATGAGTAGTGAATTCTGTTAATTCGCCTTTTAACAAATATTCAAACTTGCAAAGCAGGAGGAAGGCGCTAATATAACTGTTAACTCTGTTCATCCTGGATTGATCATGACCAATCTCATTCCTTCCTCATGATGAGTAAGTGCATGTATTTTGAAGATATGAAGTTCATTCTAATTTCATTTGCCAAAAGTTTACTTTTTTTCTGCAGAGGTTTTACAACTATTCACCTATATGATGTGGAAGAATGTACCGCAGGTAGGTTTGCAGCCATATGTTCATGTTAGTTCTGAATCATAGAAGCAATTATATGGTTCTTAAGAAGGCCGAAATGACTGGATAATTTGCAGGGGGCAGCAACCACGTGCTACGTTTCTCTGCATCCGAGCATTAAAAGTGTGACAGGGAAGTACTTTGAGGACTGCAATGAGGCGAAGCCTGGCATCTTGGCGAATGATGTAAGGCTTGCGAAAAGATTGTGGGACTTCAGTGAGAATTTGGTGAAATCTGCTGAGTGATATATTTAACTAATTTGGCTTAGGCCAGAGCTCAGCCTTCCATATTCTTTGCTTTGTGCAGAAAAATGCTCTGCAGACTCATGTGGGTTAAAATTATTAGTCATTTATAGACATAATAATTTTCATACATGTTTAATCCTTTGTTATTATTAATATTACGACCTTTTTAGATTGATATTCAGCCCAAAGAGCATCTTAACATTGTATTCTTTATTTTTGAAAATAAAGACTCCTTGGCTTCAACAAAAGTTGTAAGATTATGCTTAATCAGCCAAGATGAAAAATTTTGAAGTATAATTAGAGGTTTTAAAATAATTATTGGAAGATTAAATTGGTATGTTTATAATTGAATCGAACAGTGAGATGAGAGAAATATTACTGGCGTAAGATCATTCAATTCAAAGTTTGTTAAGGTGGAGTTCAAATACTGAAAGAATGATTATAATAAAAGGACTAAACACATATCATGCCATGAAGTATTTTTGAATTTTGCCAAAATTTATTAAAACAGTAATCTAAAAAATTACAAGTAAACCTTTATTTTGTTGGAATGGAGAAGCTTCTAGAGTTTGACAAAGATTAAAAATTTATGGAAGAAGCTCCACTTCTATGTATCACCTTTTATTGTTTGATACAAACTCAAAGACTCCACTCCTATGTATACTAGTGACACATCCTAAATTAATGGCTAAGATTGTGTAGTACAATTCTAATCTAATGGTTATAAATAATTCCATATTTACCACACATTCCAAAATAAGTTTTTAGATGAGACATGCTTCTAGAAATTAGGCTTTTATTGGACTTTATTTAAATACTTAAAATCAAGTTTATCTTTCAACATATTTTTCATTTGATGGGGGGAATTAAAACAAGCTGCGAGCTAAATCTAAATCACAAAAAAAATCTTGAAGCCTAATGTTGGGTATGGCTCATATACCAGAAATTTGGAATCTCTTGGATTTAGAGAGGTGTGTCTCTTGGTTTGAAGATGTGTGTCTCTTGGATTAGTGGGTTGGGGGAGCGGGGGCGTGTTTGTAATTATCTGTGGGTTTTATTTATAAACAGATGTGTAACCCTATGAGTATGTAACTCCTTTGAAATAGTGAAATTCGCTGCTCTGCTCCCGAGGATATAGACATCTTTGTGGAACCTCGATAAATCTTTGCGTTCTTCTGGATTTGCGTTGTTTTACCCTAAATTTCACAATAATTGGTATCAGAGCACCAGGTTCTAGGGCGGAGGAGATCGGCACAGGAGGAAGGAAGAATTTTCGGGTGGTTTTGCTGTAGTTCGAGGCCAAGCAAAGTTCTGCGACGATTTAATGCATGAAGGAGTTCCTGCGGAAGAAGAGGCTTCAGCGAGAAGCTGTTCGTCATTTTTCAGAGGAGTTGGCAGAGGAGCAGTTCACGCTTCTTCTTGGGTATTTTGCTTGCGGCTCAGCGGCACCAACGGGGTTCGCAAATCGAGTTCGGGCAAGAAATTTCTGCCGGGAAGATCGTTCGCAAGCGGGAAAAAGATCAAGCGCGAAGGAAGTTTGCAGTTCCCGGTTTCGAGAATAGGCGCGAAGCAGAGCAGTGATTCACGACATCGGGACAGGCATCCGCGAGCGGAGGAGTGCGAAGCAGACAAACGGTTACTGTTCGGCAGTTCGCGCAGGCGTTCGTCTCTTGGTTCGTGGGCAGGCGGCGACTCCTTCGCGGGCAAGTAGCGAACATGAAGATTTTTTTTTTAAGGGATCAAGGAATCTTTGATTTGCACTAGAGGAAGGGAAATGATATTCCTTGGTTGGAGGGAAGATAATTGAGGAAAGGAAAGTTTTTTTTTTTTTTTGAAGTCCCTCTGATTTCCTTTGGTCGAGGCTGGAGACAGGAAGATTTTTTTTCTTTGGTTCTTTGGCTCGAAGAGAATATTTCTCTGTTGTAGCGACGATGAGGTTTGCCAGTTTCACGAACCTTGGTGGCATTCGGCGAGGTGGAGTTCGTGAACAGGAGTTCACGTGCAGTAATCGCGAACAGGAGCATTTGTGAACAGAGGTGTTTGCAAATTTTGTCACAGGAGCTGCTCAGGTGCAGTTGCGACAGGTGGTGTTCGACCAGCGGAGTTTGCAAATTTGTTGCAGAAGTTGCGGTATGTGCAGTTGCGACAGGTAGTGCTCTACCAGCGGAGTTCTCAAGTTTGTCTCAGGTAAAGTTGCGGCAGATGCAGTTGCGACAGGTAGTGCTCAGTCAGCGGTGTTCGCAAATTTTGTTGCAGGAGCTGCGACAGGTGCAGTTGCTACAGGTGGTGTTCGACCAGTAGAGGTCACAAGTTTGTCGCAGGAGTTGCGACAAGTGCAGTTGCGACAGATGGTGCTCGGCCAGCGGAGTTCGCAAGTTTGTCGCAGGTAAACTTGCAGTAGGCAGTTGCGACAGGTGGTGCGCGGTCAGCGGAGTTCGCAAGTTTGTCGCAGGTAGAGTTGCGGCAGGTGAAGTTGCGATAGGTGGAGTTCGTGAATTTCACGAATTGTTCGCCGCTTTGTCGCCGAAGAAATTGTGACAAGTGGAGTTTGGCTGATGTCTACAATATTTCAGTCGAATTTTTGTGTGAACAGGAAAGATGTTTCATGTGAAAATTTTGATTAACGAATAACAGGAAATTGCTGGAAAATTACTGCAATTGACAGAGAAAATTTCAGGTTTATTTAATTTATTTGTGGTGTGTTTTGTTTCAATACAAGACAGGAAAAGTTCATTACAAAATTAATTCTAAATAACAATGTCTTGTGCAAAATTTGAGATAATAAAGTTCGATGGAACCAAAAACTTTGAATTGTTGGCACAACAAGGAATTTTGATGACATGACGAGTAATGAAACCTGGTGGTAATATCTATAAACTGTTGGGGAGTACAGTTGTAGGTGGAGTTCACTCTGTCGGTTCATATGATGGAATTGCAGCATTTATTTTAACCAAACAAGATATTTTCAATAAGTTATTGTGCTACTTGAACTTGTTGAATATTTGCAGTTGCTAGTTGGCATGGTTGCCCAACCCATTTTTGTATAAGAAACTCCATGTTGTTTTTCTCCTAAGGGGCTGGATATTCGCAATGTGAAGATTTTCTTCTAAGGGATTGAATATTCGCCAAGGTGGAGAATTGTTAGGTATGGCTCATATACCAGAAATTTGGAGTCTCTTGGATTTTGAGATGTGTGTCTCCTGGGATGAAGATGTGTCTCTTAGTGTGAAGAGGTGTGTCTTTTGGACTAGTGGGTTGGGAGGAGCGAAGGCGTGTTTGTAATTATCTGTGGGTTTTATCTATAAATAGTAGTGTAACCCTATGAGTATGTAACTTCTTTGAAATAGTGAAATCCGTCGCTCTGCTCCCGAGGATGTAGGCATCTTTGTCAAACCTCGTTAAATCTCTGCGTTATTTTGGATTTCCATTGTTTCACCCTAAATTTTACAACACCCAATACTGACCACCAATGATAATTGACACCAAGGAAAGTTGTCATTACCCAACCAATATTGTTACATCCTAGAAATAAATAAACGACAAGAAAAATAATTCAATTTTAGCTTAGTTGAACTATATCTAATTCACACACAAATAAAGATGCGATAAGAGTCAACCAAATCTTTATGTGGCAACTTTATGAAGGGAAAAAATCATGAGGCACGTCTAAATCGAAGTAAATCTATTATATATTCCAAGGTATAGAGTTTCACTTTTCATTCAAAGTAGAGAAGATAGGGTTATAGAGTTTAGACTATGTTACAAAGATTAGTTAACAATCGTCTGAGAATAATAACTGAGTTATAACAGTAGTTAATGCAGACTAATGATGATCTCTAGTGATCATCAGCTTCTTGCAATTTTCAAGAGTATGGATATAGCTCTTGGCTTATTCTCCATATTTCATGTTGAGAATGAGGTCCTATGATAGAGTTTGGGCGGGGCATTTTGGAAAGTTTTACTAAAATCCGATAAAATTCTATTGGGTGATTCATGTCCATTCTTTTGATCGCAGATTATTATATTAGTATTCAAGTGTTTTAATGTTATGATAATCGAGTGATTTTAGACTCGTGGGATTTCTCTCTTATCAAGATATTTGATTTGATTGTAAGCATGTCAAATTTGAAGGTCATTATTTTTTTCAATTAATTCTTCAAAGCTCTAATCATACTTGAAGTGTGTTTGATCCGAACTCATTTGAGCTCAGATTATATTTTTTTTAGTATCATTGAGTTGGTATTGTCGCTATCTTCAATTTGACTATAAAATTGCTTAAATCAGAGCCTGAATGATTTTGAATTTGAACATAAAAATTTCTCATCTAATATGCATCGAGATTCGTATCGATCATGCAAAATCTTTAATAACATTTCAAGTGCCATATATAGGCAGGGATGCAAACGAGTCAAGTTGAGCTTGAGACACCCTCGGGTTGAGCTTGAGCTTGATTAATTTTATTGAGTTTGAGCTCATGCTTAAGACACCCTCACGAGCCCGCTTATTCATTATAAAAGATTATAAAATTTCGCATGAGTTAAAATAACAAATCTCGATTAGAGAAATGATAAGAATTTTCTTATTATAAATCGCTTAATATAAATATAACATATTTTTAAATTTTTTTTTAAAATATTTAATGATAAAGTCTTAAAATTTAATATATTTTGTGTGCATTTTAAGTTGAAATTTTTTGGGATAGTTACATATAGATTACCTGAAACATCGATATTTACAAATTTATCAGCGAGGTGATTTTTGTTATATATATATGGATTGGGATTTTTCGGTGAATTTTGATATTTGATTGTGAATTTGAAAAATGGATGAAAAAAGGGTGGTTAAGTTGTAAACAAGAAGTTCCGGGCGGGTGTAATTTCACCTTTATTTTTTTTCTCAAGGAGCAGGCTCACATGCGAACGCGTTGAATTGGAGCTAGTTTGAGCTCGGCTTGTTAGCTCATCAAACTCATTTTACGAGCCACTTATCAAGCCGACCTAGAGCCGGCTCACAACTTGGCTTGACTCACTTACACCCCTAGCCATAGGTGCTATTATTACTAAATTATTATTTTTATGATGTTATTGCCTCGTAAATATCTCTAGCCTGTTATTGCCCAACGGTTATCACCCAATCAACTTGTCATAAAAACCCTCTTCTTTAATAATTAAAGGACAAGCAGTGTTACTATTTTTGTAGCTCATATTTTTCAATTATAGATGAGAAGAGAACTCTGCAGGAGCAGGAAATGCCCCTAAATCTCCAACTACTGATACAAGATCGTCTGCATCATAATAATAAAACTGACTACCCTTCCAAGCAAATAAATCTCCTGCCGCAAATACAATTTATTAGCCATAAATTCTGACATAAAAACAAACTAAGAAGTCTTACAAGAAAACACACTCACCGATCGTCATCCATCATAAAAATCTTATTCCCAGCTTAAACAATCATCACCATCTTCAAATACTGCATGCCCCAATTCCCCCATAAGAATCACACAGCAATCATCCTCTGCTCCAATCCACCCTTCCCATCTCCACTCCCATCTCCCTTATACCGAAAGTCATATATCTCATACCTCACCACACAGCTGCTATACAGCACCTGACAGCCTTGATGATAACCGCAATAATCCGGAAACAAACCCAGCGCTGAATCCAAACACTCCCTGCAACTCCCCGCCGATAAATCCCTCGTACACTGCTCCATCCCCCTGATGCTCACCTTCTTCGTAAACCCCCTCGTCCCCCAACCATACCTCTCATCGCTCCCTACAGCCGCTTCCTCCACCCCGCCCATTAGCTCCTTCACCGCCCCCTCAAACCTTACGGGATCCTTTGCGTTCTCCACATTGTATAAGATTAAGCCATTGCTCGTGTCCACCTTGCCGATAAAGTTTTTGGCGTCGTAGCGGAGGAAGCAGTAGTCGTACCATATGCGGGCGTCGGTGGAGTTGGGGCAGAGGGAGGGGAGTTGCTTGGCTGCTTCGGTGATGCAGGTTGAGCAGACGTCGGCAGGGACGTCGCCGCGGCACCGGGTGAGGCCATATAAGGTGGTGGTTCCGTCGCCGTGGGAGGAGATGGCGAAGCCGGAAGGAGGAGTTCTGGTTATGAGGTCGGAGAGGACGAAGTTTATGTTGGATTGCAGGGGGTTGGGGGAGGTAGTGGATGAATTGTTGCCGCAGTAATGGTAGATTAAGGGGTTGGAGGAAAATGCGAGGGGGAAGAGGAGGAGGACGAGGAGGAGGAATAAGGCCATTGCAGCTTGACTGATAAATGATCACAATACCTGGTGTGTATATATATATATATATATATATATATATATATAATTAGAACAGAAAATTCTAAACAAAATGTTTACGCCAAATAGGCACTAAAAATAACATATTATATGAAATATATTGTAGTAAAATAGCCATTAGGGGGACCTACTCTATAGATATGTTTCATGGACGTACATGCATGCATCCGAATTGTAATTTTTAATTATATATTTCGTCATGCAGATTAATCTAAATACTAGAAGGAGAAAAGATCAAAGCACCAAGATGAGTAAATTATGATAAAGTTACCAAGTTGCCAGCTTTGAATATGTCCATAAGATTAATGGAATAGTCAAAGACCATATTTGAAAATTGATATATCCATCTAGAAGCCCTAACAATGGTCAAATGCTAGCTGTTGTTGACTTTTTTTTGCTTTGCACTAGAAGAGGATGGCAGCGCGCCACTGATTAGAAGCTTATGCCCTCTATCAAAAGTCAAAGGATTTAATTAGGTTTAGTACAGCAAGCACTAATATAAAGTAACAGGTAACTTTTGATGGTATTATACTGTTTTAACTAATAATTAATGTTTGGTTAAGGGTGTTGGTGTGAATTTGTAGAGGGTTGAGACACTATGGAAGTTATTATGTTGACTAATTCTAATTTGCGGTGTGGTCGGACGATGCTGATCTAAACGCACTATATATTTTTTGGGGCAGTGTTTGACGCTGTTTATACTGTTTGAATTTTACATTTTAAACACAGTAAACGAACGAAGGATTGAAATAATGCTGTGTTATATATTTCATAGGCTTTATTTGATTTAATTTTGTTAGGTATGGCTCAAATACCAACTAAGGGACAGATGGAGCGGAATGGAGCTCGCGAGCGGAAGTATCTGTCCAATACGGAGGAGTTTCGTTATGTGGGTTGTGGGTGCGGGGGCAACGCCGCCACGATACGTTACGAGGGATAATTTTATAATTACATATTATAAACTTTTTCACATATATATATATATATATATATATATATAACCTTGGTTTACAATATGTTTTTCCTGTTTATGCACAGAGCACCATTGAAGCTGAGGGTTATGCAGTTTTGTTCTTTGTCCAGATTGCTCTAATTTACAAATTTCCTTTGGTGATCATTGAATCTGACTCTATGAGTATTTTCAAAATACTTACTAAGCTCATTGCCCCTCCTTGGAATTTGCTTTATCTTTTAAACAGATTTTGGCATCTTCTTGATACTCATGCTATGCAGGTTCAATTTTTGGAGGGATCATTTTTATAATATTTTCTTTTTTTTTTTTTTTTTTTTTTTGGCTAAAATGGGCCACACAGGGATCTTTGTGGGCCACCTTCCCTCTAGTATGCTAAAGAAAATTCTGATGGGGGATAAATTGGATTCCCCATACATTCGTGCTTGATACTGGCTTTTATATCTACTTGCTGTAGGTCACCTTGGCTATTTTTTGGCAGGTTTACAGGAGACTTCCTCTCTTCTTCTTTGTTTGTTGTGGACGTCACTACTATGCTCAGAATGTTCACTTTTCTATTTGGATCCTGTTTGCTCCTTGCGGTCTGGATGGACTGCTGAGATTATATTTGCAACTACATTTTCCTCCCTCTCTGATATACAAGCTTCTCAGCTTGAAAGCTTCTTCTGGTTGCTGCCTGCTTTTTCCACTTTTGGTTTCCTCTGCTCCCTCACGATGGTGGTTTTTGTTTTTGGCCAATCTTTACTTTGCTTACATTGGCAGTTTACTTTCTCTTTTAATTTACTGTTTGCTTCGATTTTAGTTGGTTTGTTGGGGTGTACTCTTTTTGTACCTTCCTTTTTTATGTAACTATATATATATAAGGAGAGATTGTACTCTTTTTCGTGAAATTTAAAGAAACTGCAGCTCTGCTCCCAAGGGCGTAAGCAAATTGTCCAACATCGTTAAATCTCTGTGTTTTATTTTTGATTTGTGACGATTCTTGAGATTTCTTTACCCTAATTTCTCAACAAGTTTTTTTATTTAACTTTTTAACTAATGTTGCGCGTGCATAATCTATATATGTACATATGTACATCTATATATGTACATATGTACATCTATATATGTACATATGTACATCTATATATGTACATATGTACATCTATATATGTACATATGTACATCTATATATGTACATATGTACATCTATATATGTACATATGTACATCTATATATGTACATATGTACATCTATATATGTACATATGTACATCTATATATGTACATATGTACATCTATATATGTACATATGTACATCTATATATGTACATATGTACATCTATATATGTACATATGTACATCTATATATGTACATATGTACATCTATATATGTACATATGTACATCTATATATGTACATATGTACATCTATATATGTACATATGTACATCTATATATGTACATATGTACATCTATATATGTACATATGTACATCTATATATGTACATATGTACATCTATATATGTACATATGTACATCTATATATGTACATATGTACATCTATATATGTACATATGTACATCTATATATGTACATATGTACATCTATATATGTACATATGTAAATACATATATATACATATGTGTATGTACATATATATATAGATATATATATATATGTAGATATATATATGTACATATGTGTATGTACATATATATATCTACATATATATATACATATATATATGTACATACACTACATATATATATATATATATATATATATATATATATATATATTTGTGTGTTTATGTTGAATACTGATTTGTTTGTGAGTCACATCCCATCTTCAGGAGTAAAAGGAAGAGAGAGAGAGAAAAAAAAAGTAAACAATGATGAATACTAAAATATATATATCATTTTGACCTTTCACGACCTTTTTGACTAAAATTGTGTATACTATTATATGAAATGATTTCTCTATTTATTTGGGAGAGAATATAATATTATGTTATTACATTTTTGTCCTCGCTTTAATAGTGCATGTACAAGATATTCTATGTATTTAATTTACTGGTATATTGAGCTTATAGTTCAACTGCTTTCTACTTGGTAAAATGAGCTTGTTTGCCTTCGGCTCGACATGGCCGGTCTGGTCGACTGAGCTTGATGGCTTTGGGTTTGCATAACTGATTTGATTGGCAAGGTTTTGACGATCAGTTGATCCAGTATGGATTTTAACCCTTGATCTACAGTGAAAAGCTTATGTCAGTAGAGTGACGATAGACTAGCACCATGATATGAAAAGATAGCTTGCTCCCCAACGAGAAGAGCCCGAGGGATGTCTATAAGACTCTTTTCTGCATTAGTAATTCTTGATTCCTGATAATGAGCCTAGGAGGCGTCTGTGGGACGCCTAGTTGGTGATATTTGTGCTCTGAACATTTCTTCCAGTCAAATCTACTGGAAGATAGGTTGCTACCTTTCATTGACTTTCTTGTATTGATTGGTTTAAATATCTCTTTGGCTCGTTCTTGACCAAACAACTCGAATTCAGTCACCTTTGTGGCTCGATAGGACTGGATAGGCTTTGTTCTTGCTTACTCTGGCTCAGGTTGCTGCACCTTATCGGGTAAGTAGGCATTTCGGTTTAACTTTATATTGTTGGCCAGGCCATCCGTTATCGTGCTGGCTTCCTTATGGACTGTTAGGTCACTTTAGGATCGGCACAATAACATTTTCGATGTAAAATTTTAGTTATTCTATTCTCTTGCAATTTAAAGGTAACGTTACTTATGATAAGAAAAAAAGAATTCATTGTAAAAAATAGATATCATTTATTTTTAGTCAAAGATTTAATAATTGAATTGTCTTGATTTCCCGCCCTTAGCCCTTATAAATCTGACATAATAAGACTTAAGAAGCTGAGTTGTCTGAACTAAGAGACCATAAGAAAACGGACTTAAAAAAATTGAAATATAACAAGTAAAACTGAGGCTCCTTATGCCAAGTAGCTGATCCAATTAAGACACTATAACCAAAACAGTGCCCTCATTGTGCTACGATAAAGCACCAATAACTTATTGCGTTGTCGATTCGATTAACCAATCTTGTGGCACACTAGAAGTTGAGGCAATTGATTGATGGTCAAACCGGTTGCCTGGACGTTCCTTCTCTTTATAGTGAGGAACGAATCAAACGACCCCACCTGATCTTCTAGTGTAATTGCTTTTCTCTTCTTAATGATGACTTTTATCTTCTTTTCATCTTTCATGTGGTACCGCTCGTTTCGCCTCTCTAAGGCGACACATAACTCTTTGCTAGACATATCACCTGAGGGAATTGACATGTTCTCTATTACAACATTTGGAAGCCGACCGATCCAAATGAAAGTGGCCACAGAGAAAATAAAGATTGCGATGAATCTTGTCACACCTTATTTATAAGAATCAAAGGTATGAAAATTAAGAGAGATTAATTATTGAATAATTAATTAATTTTAAATGTGATTTAATTTTTTTATTAAATTTTATTATTCTTGTCGCATCATCGCTTTTAGAAAAAGAATCAAAGAACTAAAATATGTACATAAAAATGTGGTAGTATTTGATTCTGGGGAAATCTTATAGACTATAAAGAAATAACACAACGAAGGAAGACCCGCTGATAGAAGAGCATAAGGTCTACTTTCGAGTGAATTTGTTCGAGCTAAGTTACTAAAGTCAAAGCTGACCGAACTACATGACAAGCCAAAGACTATCGTAAGATACAAAAATGAGTCATTAAGAAAGAATCAAGGCAAAAGGACATCCAGGCCAGCTATCACATGCATGAGAGTTGATTCAAGGAATATCCAGTTTCCTAATATCCCCAACCATCCCATGAATGCTTAGAAGCTTCTCATAAGGGGCCAATAATTGACATACAGGCCATATGATCAATTGACCTACCCATATCGTTCAACTTTAGCCGATTGAGTTAATCTTATCTAAGCAAATGGTTCTTAGTTGGTCGAGTTGATCCTACCAACTTGAATCCCAAGACAGAAAAATGTTTGAAAATAGTACGAATAACCCGTAAAGGAAAAAAAATCATAATGTAAAGAAAAAAAACCACGAGATTCGACATAGTTGTAAAAATTCACAATAAGTTGATGATTATAAAGACTCATTGTCCCACATGCGAGAAAGGGTTACAAATACTTTTGAATTACACATCGATGTACGAACAATCTCATCTCAAAGAAGAGACAGTTGCCGATAGCATTCGAAGTGGGGCGACTAATGTTGGTTGACGGCGGCAGGAGTGATGGTGGATTTCAGCTTCTTCTCAAAGCTTTAATCTCTTCTTCAAGCCTCAAGCTTCCCTCCTCTTTCCTCTTCATGAGAGGGGTGAGACTTTATTTTTAGAGCCGCTACATTAAATGAGGGAATTTGAACCACTCCAATCAGATGACCGAGAGAAGTTATTTCGATCGAACAATGTTTGATGGACATTTATGTACCTTAATGAAGTTGGAATTGCACGATTTGGGCTTGTTACATCATCTTGTTGAGACACTCGGTTCGACTATGAATTCATCGGATTCTTCATCTGTTTGATCATCCAAAAATGCTCAGAAAGCTTCCAAAATTTGTCTGTGCCTTGATCGGGGCTTGATTTAGCTCAAATTGGACCAATTTGAGTACCATTGGGTCTGTCCCGTCTAGCCAATTAATTTTACTGTAAGTTTATTAAAATCAGAGTTCTAAATGACTTTTAATTAAAATTTAAATATTTTTAATTAAAAAATGTGCATTGAGATTCTCTGTCATGCCTTGTGATCCATGTTAGATGTGTCATCATAAGATTTGAGTGGTGCAGATTGACATTTAAATCACATAAAATCACTTTTCAATACACATAACAAAAATAGAAAAATCTTACAAAAAGTTTAGCATCCCGATTTTTTTTTTTAAATTATTCTAATTCAAGTTGGGACAGTTATATACCCCTACTTTATTGATCAGAAAAATGATCCATAATTTCCATTCACTAATTCAGTCACCATGCATTAAAAGACGTCCATGCAAATTATGATCGCAAACTATTTTAATCACAATCAAACAATACATATTCCCAAATCAGAATCACGGAAGCATCATCTTCTTCCCCACCACATGGCGGCGCAGCTGCCGCTCCACGAATCGCCATGAAGCAAAAAGTTATAAATCTGATACCTCACCAGCCACCACACTGCTGCAATACAGCACCCGGCAAAACGTAATCCGTAAACGAAACCACCTCCGATTCCAAGCACTCCCTACAACTCCCTATACCTCTTATAGCTCCCCACCGCCGCTTCATTCACTTTTCCCATGAGCTTCTTTACCGCTGCGCTAAACCTTACGGGATCCGTTGCGCTCGTTCTCTACGTTGAACACAATGACGGCGTAGGTGGTGCTGAGTTTCCTAAGAATTCGTCTGTGCTGTAGTGGAGGGCAGAGGTAGGAGAGGTGGTTGGCTGCGTTAGTGATATTGCAGGATGAGCAGATGTTGGAGGAGATATTGGCGTAGCCGGATTGAGGGGTTTTGATTTTGAGTTAGGAGAGGACGTAGTTTATGCATGTTTGATTGAAAGGGATTAGTGGCGGAGATGAAGCTGATGGCATCGACGTAGAGGGTGAGGAGGAATTTGGCTGTGAATGCCATTGTCGAGTTTTGCTGAGAGAGTTCGATGATTAATCGAGATTTGGTTATGTAGACGGGGAATTATTAGTTGGAAGATATACTTTTTTTTAGCCTATATATATATTAAAAAGCTCAAAACTTTAATAAGCACAAATATGGAATTCCGTTTCTTTCGTTCGCGCGGGAACCAATTTGAAATCTTCCTCTCCCCCCTCAGCCACACCCTCTATTCTACACCGACTCAAGCAGATAGATCACCACGGGATTGGCTTGCGACACTGCTCCCGGTCTCCTCCTCCATCTAAAATTTACGGCCGCACCCTCCAATCGGTCACGGCACAAGAAAATCACCGTCTTCAACTAGGTAACTGTTCGCGTCCATCTTCCTGTTCATATCAACCCCATTCGATGATTTCGTTCAGATTTTCTATGGAGTAAGAGAAGCTGTAATCTAATTGGGTATATACAAAGGTATCCATATTTTTCTAGAGCACGAGGTGTTCGATGATTTGCCCCATCTAGACACAGGTGACTTGAAACTAATTTTTTGCATTGTATTCCTTTTTTTTTAGTGTCTAATTTTACGAATGCCTTCGTGATCAATTAAATTGGAGAGACTTCTTTCATCTCTGCTTTTTGCAAAAGCCATTCTTTATCTGGTCAAAGATTTTGCTTTGCTAGATGGTGAGAAACTCCCCTAATTTGCTTCTTATATGAAATATAGTTTTGAGTTCTTAATCCATTCACCTTTTTTTCATCTCTGCTGGATTCCTCCCCTGAACATACCCACATCTGCCCTGATTATATTGTGATTTTCAAGTTTCCTGCTAAATCCAAAGGTATTTTCATTGATTTGCTTGGAACATTTGTTTACCGTGCTAGCAATCTTTCCAAAGATACCATAAATTTTCGTTTTTTTCATTTTCAGGAAGGAAATGATAATTCGTTTGTAATACCAGCTATCCAATCCCAAGGCAAGGACCAAGAGTTTGGTAGGGTCCCTAAGCCAACCTCTCCTAGGATGGCTTTTTCAATGCTATTTGCTACAATTTCAATTCATCATCCTGCTAAAGATATGGATCTTGTCAATACATATTATGAAGAATTCAAGGTGATTGATTCAAGTTTGTTTAAACATGAGTTTTATTCTCTAGAGCGTTTGGGCTGTATAGTTGATTTTTTTTCCTTTTAACCAGAGAGAAAAATAAACATGCATACCACTCAATTCCTATGTATTCACAAATCTAACACCTAAACTTTAACTTTTACATTTATCCCAAATATTTCATATTACATAAAAAATACAACTTTTGATGCTGTTGTATGACAGTTCCTTTCCCATTTGCCTGCAAAGTTTAATACATATTTTTCCCTTCTTACCTCGATCTATGTTTGGCTGCTGCTTGTTTGCAGATTCTGAAATTGCTATTGCGTGTTGCTTAATGCACATGGTGGAGCAGCTTTTCATGAAGCTCATCCGGACACTTATAGAAAGAGAGCAGTTGCAACAGCTGCAGATGTAGCAATTTCAGTTCATGCAGGTTCTCGGCCAAGAGAGAGGATGAGACGAAGCATCATTTCAACAATGTCAGCTGCATCTTGGAGATAAGTGAGCTTTTTTGGCGTAGTCGTTGCTTCCTTGACATTTTGATGGTGCTCCATATTATCTCCATTTTTCAAGTTAAAGTAATTCTTATTGTTCTTCCTGACTAGCACTTCAAATTAATATTCATATAGTTCTTTGTACATATAAAACTGTTGAATGTATAATTAATCATACAAGGCATTCATTTTGGGCAAATAGGATTTTGGGTCTTGTTTGATTTCTAAAAGCTCTCAAATGTTCCGTATATTGATGGCAAATGATGATATAAATCTGAAGTCCTTGACTTGTTTAAATGCATGGGTAATTGAATATTGAAGGAGTAATTGTCCCTGTGCATGTTGTTACTGGTGCTCTTAAAAAGTGAATACACAAAGGTGCTGTATATGATATATGTAAAGAATCGAAGTTTAGGTGTTAAATATGTAAAAACAAATGAATTGAGTGGTATGTATTTGTAAGAAATTAAAGTTCAGGTGTTAGATATATAAACTCATATGAATTGAGTGTCTTGTATGTAAGTGTTCAGTTTTTTGTAAACTTAAAAGAGAATCTTCTTATGGCGAGAAGGACTCGGGTAAGCTTCCCTAACAGAATTTATGTTGATGTTTGTTGTGAAAATCAAATTCTGTTTAAGAGTTCTAATGTTTCTGAATTCAATCTTTATTGCATAGCTAGTTTGTTTATGTGGATTTTAAAATGCATAAATTGGGATTTTTTGTTGGCTTCTAAATTCATTCGTTCTTCTAATATTGAATCTTTATTGCACAGCGTTTTTTTGTTGACTGAGGATGAGATTAAGATGTGTAATTGGTTTGGTGAGTTTTTCAATCTGAATTAGCCTGCATTTCAAAATGTGGTTAAATGTTCGGTTTTTTGGGCATTATATAAGCCTTAATTATTTTCTATATTTGGAGGTTCACTTGTGTTAAAATTCATGACTCGAATTATTTTTTAATTTCTGAGGGGAGTATATACAGTAGATGCTTCATCCAGCACTTGGCTTTATGTCACTGACATTTCCTCTCTCTTGGAGATTTTGAATTGTATTTCGCCTTTGCTATTTTAAGTTGATAGCTACGGTCATGGAATTCCGGACCTTTTGACTGGTAACAATTTATGTTTTCATGAGAACTAAGAAAAGGATTCTCTAATGATGAAAGAAAGGTTTAAATATGTTAAGCCAGTGCCAGTCTTGCCAACAGGCTCATGCAATTCAAATGAGCAAGGACATTGAAAGTTATTTCTCCGTTAATTCCTGATTTATAAATGAAGCATGGTTGCTTGAGCTCATTCCATGGTTCTGTTCCTCTTGATTCGTTCCCCTGAAATTGGCATATTTGCGGAATTGAGAAGAGTGTTGGTCGTTTCAAGTAAGTGTTTATTTTTACGTTCAACCACACTATTTTGTTTGTCCTAATGTGTAAGGGCAATTATCTTGATTTTGAACACTGTGGGCATTTAAGTAGGTATTAAGGTGATGGGAGGTATATTCTTTGCCCCCATCAATGAGTAAAAATTTTATGTTTGTGTTAAAGTGATTTTTGATCATTTTGTGTAAATTGATAAAGTAACCTAATCATTCAATTGATTTACACTTAATGATCTTGGCCATCTATTTTGTGTTTGGGTCTGTTGGTTATGTAGTCGAACAGGCGACATGAGCATATTTAGTTCCACAACTTGCTTATCTTGCTCGGCCTATGACGCTCGTCCCTCCAGCTCATCCGGTGCATCGACCTCTGCAGCCCAGGAGGGGGAGCTTTGTAGGCAATTTGCCGCACTTACTGCTGATATTGAGGTCAGTCATTGGCCTGGTCTCCACCCAGCAAGCCTGAATAAGACCAGAGATGGAATTAAAAATGAAGGCAGATTTTGATGTGTTGCTGCATCATGCACGACAGAGAGGAAAGTGGTCAGATGAGGATGAGTCCGATGAGATTGATGATGAGAGAACATATGAGAGGTAAGGACTTAAATTTTTCCTTTTTGGTCATTAAGAACAATTTATCATAACGAACGTTATTTTTTATGTATAAATGTTCATTTTGGTTGATTTAATGCTATGATTTTATTTGATTTTTGTCTATGGTTTCTGCGTATTAATTAATACTGTGATATAAGATTAATAATAGCTTGGATTAGTACATTGTGTTGTGTGGAAATTATGGTCTTAGGATTGCATGTGTGAAAATTGTAGTGTTGACAAATTATATTATATTTTTTTTCTGATGCTAAAAATTTTCGACGGCTGACCGACGGTTTGCCGTTACATTATCATAATCGTCAATTATCATAGCAACCGTAAACCGACAACAAATCTAGACATATCATAATTTACAATAGCTTACAAATTCTTCAAATATTAGTGCACTGCTTGTATGGAAGTCTCTCTCTCTCTCTCTCTCTCTCTCTCTCTCTCGGTGCTGTGATTTGACGTTTCCAGGCTTGAATCAAAATATAAACTTAATTAGTAATAAAATAAGGAATTAATCAAACTTTGTACACTGATTCTTCCCTGATCTTCGCAATGACAGTGATGCCATGAATGCAATGCATCTTTTAAAATGATTCATGTGATAAAAGCATGCAAGCTGGATTGCTCAAATTCATAGTTCTGAAAGTGATACCACCTAAAACAAGCAGCTGTGTTTTTCATTATTGCGTGTGCCATTTGCTCTTAACTCAAAGCTTGATGACTGTTTCAATTTAAGGAAATTTGATCATCATGGTTCACAGGCGAAGCATGAAAGTTCGAAAAGCACAGAAATATAGAATTAATTATTCATGCACCGCTGACAAATATTCACTGCCATAAATATTCAAGATAGAAGTAGAGTGCAAAAGTTCAGTATCCATCACTTTCATGAAAAAAGCCGTTGGGTTTAATTAATCTCTTATACATGAAAGAAACGGAGGAACCAAAAGTTAGGAGAGGGGTAAGTGACTAGTATTTATGTTTAAGAGTTTCCCTTCTTAAATTATTATAAACTGATGCGTGTCAGAAAATTTGTGACAGTAGAGTAATGAATTATTGTCTTAGCGCTGCACGAGATTTCAACACACACGGATAAAAGAAGAGAAGTAATCAGGAGGAGACACATCGATTTTTTACGTGGAAAACCCTTGAAAGGGTGAAAAACCATGGGGCCTAGCCCAATTGAAATAATTCACTATGAATGATGAGTACGCACGTTCATTCTTCCTCTAATTAGAGAAAATGAAATCACAAAGTTGCAGAACTATAATCTGACTGCCGTTCTTGGTGACAACAGATTGCAAGAGTCATTGTTAAGAAGGTAGTAGTCCGTCGTGACTGTTGTAGATAGTTAATCCAGAAGCGTAGATTTGCCAGAGAAGCCATAGCAAGTAGTTGCGGGAACTGAGAATCACATAGATTGTAGTGGGCGAGTTTAATGATGTCCGTAGGCCGCGGGGCCGGAATCGAGAGCTGCATGAGCTGATGACCACGTAGGTTGTTTGGGCAAATATTGATGACGTCCGTAGGCCGCTGGGGCCAAAGTCGGAAACTGCATGAGCTGATGACCGTGTAGGTCGTTGTTCGCACATGGTCTGTAGTTGTGAGCAGTGGTGACGTTCATAGACAGTTGGGATCATAGTCGGGAGCTGCATGAGCTGATGACCGCGTTGGTCGTTGTTGACAAATAGATCGTATTGGTGAGCTCTTGTTCCGCGGACGAGAGATGATTACTAGATTTTCCAAGTTACGACGTTGACTGACGGCGTCTGGTCGGCGGTGGTTGACGACGATCGATGGTGGTCAACAACGAGTGGCGGATGACGGTTGGCGGACGACGGTCGACGGTGTTCGACGACGGTCGGCGGTAGTGCTGGACTTCAACTCCTTCTCAAAACCTCCAGCCCCCCCTCATGTGAGGGATGAGGCTCTATTTATAGTGTTCTGAGTGCAATTAATGCAAGAATATGAATCATTTTGATCGGACGGTTTGGAGAGCTTCCCTCGATCAGATGACATTTGATGGACTTTTGAGTGCTTTAATGATGTCAGAATTGAACAATCTTGGGCTCGTTGGATTCGTTTTGTCGAGACGCTCGATTCGACTATGAACTCGCTGAATTCGACATTCGTTTGATCTTTCAAATGTGTCTGAAAATCTTCCAAGAATGATTTAATTACTTGATTTGGCTTGATTTGACTCGGATTGGACTAACTTTGATATCATTAGGTCCGTCTCATCGAGTCAGTCAGTTTGACTATAAGTTTGCTGAAATCGGAGCTCTGAATAACATTTAATTGAAGTCTGATTGTTTCTAGCTCAAAAGGTTGCCTCGATATTCATGTTATGTCTCGAAATTCGTGATGAATGATTAAAATTTATTAGTGCTGCATCATAAACATAATTATTAAATTTAATATAAATTTAATATTGAATTATCATTATGTATATAATTTAAGTGGTGCAAATTTTTTTATGTATCATATTATATTAAAAGTTTAGTAAATATTTAAGGGCGATGAGTACCACCCCACTTACTCCCTTTTCTCCACATTCCATAAAAAAAAAAAAAAAAAAAGTTTACATTTAGAATGTTTTAGCTATGCATTAAAATGTGCATTTCATATTTAAATAATCGTAGCGTTTTTTTGTGAGCGTTGTAAAAATAAAATATAAAATGTAGGTGTTGAATATATTAGCAAATAGGAATTATATATAAGATTTTCAGATGATCATGTTTATATTTTAAGAGAATTACTTATTCTTGATGGTGACGTCCAAGAGAAGATAGTCATAGGAATTATTAATTAGTTTTAGAGCTTTTCCCCGTTGGCTCGTTTACACCCCTTTCCCCTCATGAATTCACGTGAAATCCGTCTCCTTTCCCTCTCATGTTTCTTCTTCGTATGACAATCTTCTCTTTACATTTCCTTAGTCCAAGTGTCCGTTCTCTAATTTTCCTTATAAACCTCACGCGCATTCTCTCTCCCTCCCCAAACAAAGAGCCGAACTCCCAACCTCTTCAGCAATAGAGAAATGGCGGTGAACATAACATCCATAAAGACCTCATCAAACGGCATATGGCAGCACGACGACCCGCTCCACTTCACCTTCCCTCTACTCATCATTCAAACAACCCTCATCCTCCTCCTCAGCCGCCTCCTCGCCTTCCTCCTCAAACCCATCCGCCAACCAAAAGTCATCGCCGAAATCATCGGCGGAATACTCCTCGGCCCCTCCGCTCTCGGCCGCAACGAATCCTACATACGCCTCCTCTTTCCTCCATGGAGCACTCCCATCATGGAAACCGTCGCCAGCATTGGCCTCCTCTTTTTCCTCTTTCTCGTCGGCCTCGAACTCGACCTTCGCTCCATTCGCCGAAACCCGGCCGCCGCTCTCTCTCCATTGCTGCGGCGGGTATCTCCCTCCCTTTCGCCTGCGGCGTCGGCGTAGCCTTTATCCTCCGCAACAGAGTCTCCAACGCTGATCAAGCCGCATACGCTCCGTTTCTAGTCTTCATGGGAGTTGCTCTCTCCATCACCGCATTCCCGGTCCTCGCCCGCATTCTCGCTGAACTAAACCTCCTCACAACCCCGCTAGGCGAAACCGCGCTCTCCGCCGCAGCGTTCAATGACGTCGCCGCATGGGTTCTACTCGCGCTCGCGGTCGCGTTATCCGGCGATCAGAGCACCAGCCCATTGGCTTCAGTTTGGGTTCTGCTCTCCGGGCTTGCTTTTGTCGCGGTTCAAATAGCAGCTGTGAGACCGGCGATGACGTGGGTGGCGCGGCGAGCTTTAGAGGAGGGCGTGGAAAGCGAGGCGTGGATATGTCTTACGCTCGCCGGAGTTTTGCTCTCCGGCTTCGTGACCGATTTTATTGGTATACATTCAATATTTGGCGCATTTGTGTTTGGGCTAATGGTGCCGAAAGAAGGGGAGTTTGGGGGAAGGTTGATGGAGAGGATTGAGGATTTTGTGTCGGGATTGTTGCTGCCGCTTTACTTTGCGTCGAGTGGGTTGAAGACGAACGTGGCGACGATTAAGGGAGGGGAGGCATGGGGATTGCTTGTGCTAGTTGTTGGGACGGCTTGTGTGGGCAAGATCGTTGGGACCTTTGTGGTGGCGGTGGCTTGCCGGATGCCGGCGAGGGAGGCGCTTACGCTCGGAGTGTTGATGAATACTAAAGGCCTTGTTGAGCTGATAGTTCTCAACATCGGCAAGGAAAAGAAGGTATTTGTATCTGAACTCAAGTTAATATTTAAAATTAAAAAAAAATAAATTGAATGGTTAAAAACTGTATGAAGAATTAATATTTGATTATTATTTTTAAATTACTACCGTTAATGCGCTTCCATTAATGCTCCTTGCATCCATGTTTAAGAAAGGTTAGTTGAAAACCAAATTATCTCGTGCTATCTTGGCAAAAGCAGACTGAACATAACTCCCAATTCCTATGTGCTTAGATATCTAACACATAAATTTTACACTTTAATATCATATAAAAAATATCATTAAATACGCCTTTTGTTTCATAAATAATTTGACATATATATAAAAAATTGAAGTTTTAGTTATAATAACGATGTATTTTTTATATGATGCTAACAATGTGAGCATATTTATGTGTAAAAATAAGAATTTAAATGTTACTATCTAAATAGACGACAATTATGTGGTATGTATGTAAATGCCCCATTTTTATATTATTGTTAGTTTTTATATTTTTGAAAATTTAACCGTTGCAGGTACTCAACGACGAGATATTTGCCATAATGGTCCTGATGGCCCTCCTCCTCACGTTTATGACCACGCCCCACCACCGGAAACTTCAGCGCGCCACCTCTTCTTCCTCTTCCTCCCTCTCCGACGACCCAAAAGAACACCGCATCCTCACCTGCATTCACGGCCCCAGAGACGTCCCCGCACTCATCAAACTCCTCGAAACCATCCGTTGCGCCAACCCGAAATCTTCCCTTAAACTCTATATCCTTCACCTAATCGAACTCACCGAACGTTCCTCATCCCTTTCAATGGCTCGCCGCACCCGTCGCAACCGCCGTAACCTGCTCCGCCGAGACTCTCCGCGCGACCAAATCGCCTTCACTTTCGAAGCATACGCCCAAATGGGTCGCCTTCGAGTCCGGCCAATGACCGCCGTCTCCGCTATCATAACAATGCACGAAGACGTCTGCGCAATTGCAGACGAAAAACTCGTTTCCCTCATCGTTCTTCCGTTCCACAAACGCTGGCTTGGCGGAGATGTCGAGAACTTGGGCCATGGCTGGCGTGCTGTGAATCAGCGGGTGCTGAGAAATGCACCGTGCTCTGTTGCTGTGTTGGTGGACAGGGGACTAGCGCAGGCTGGGTCCGTTCGAGAAATCTGCGTCGTATTTTTGGGCGGGCCGGATGACCGTGAGGCTCTGGAATTCGCTGGAAGGATGGCGGAGCATCCCGGAGTCGGTGTTAAAGCCGTTAGGTTTGTTGCAGAGGGACCTGACTTCATGCTCCGGCCGTCTGCAAAGAAAAGTTCGGAAGACAGCTACTCGTTTTCGACGGCGGTGATGGATCGGGAGAGGGAGAAAGAGCTGGATGAGGCGGCGGTGGCGACGTTCCGGCAGCGGACGGATGGTGCGGTGATGTTCGAGGAAAGGAAGCCGGAAGTGGGGGGTGTGCTTGAGGCGGTGTTGGGAATTGGGAGGAGTGGAAAGTATGGGGTTTTGATTGTTGGGAAAGGGAGATTTCCTTCGCTGATGGTGGCGGAGCTCGCCGGAAGGGCAACGGAGCACCCCGAGCTTGGGCCGGTGGGGGATGCGCTGACTTCGACGGCTAGCGGGGTGGTGTCGTCAGTGCTCGTGATTCAACAGCACGATGCGGTGCATTCCGAAGAGACTCCGGTCTCCATGGTCCTCAATGGCGATGGCGAGGCGACGGTCATTGATGTGGAGGAAAGAGTATCGGGGTGAGATTTTGGCCGTTGGATTTCGCTTTAGGCTTTATTTAGGGTGACTACTATTACCGAAGCAAATAAACCATTAAGATCCCATTGTGAATATTAGCAGTGAATATTATTCTAGTATGTATAATTGCAGCGCTGTGTATGGTTTACCGTATTTCGTAGTTATACATGCTGATGGGATTTGTATATTTTAATCCCAAACGAGGCATTGCTAAAGTATAATTTTAAAATATAATTTATAGATGTGATAATAATTATTATTATTATTTTTTGGGTAGTTTGTCATATTTATATTTAATGTGTGCTGAAAGATTTTAAATGGGGTAATAAATTATGATTTCAACACCAATATATAATAAAAAAAATGGCAATAGGATGAGACACATCTACTTTTTACGTCGAAAAAAACTCTAGAACAGGGAAGAGATTATGGGGCCTAGTTTAGATAAAGTAATCCACTATATAATTGTAAACATAGATGTTCACTATTCTTTAGAATAAGAGAATGTGAGTTTCAAAGTTGGTCTTCGTAGATGAAGAACAATAGTTTTTTAATAGTAGTTGTAACAGGTCGTGAAGGCCGTAGTCGATCACTATAACGATCATAGTCTGTGGTGATTGTTATAGCGGCGGGGTGGTTGTAGCTTCATCTTATGTCAGAAGCCATGGTTGAAAATCGTGATAGAAGTTCATTATGTAGGTTGTAGATGGCAGCTTTAGGAGCATCGGTTGGCCGCATCAGCTGTATTAGGGAGCGGCATTAGCACTCAATAGGTTGTAGTCTGAAGTTGGTAGTTGCATGAGCTATGAACTACATAAGTCATAGTTGGTCATGTATGTCATAGAGGGCAGCTGTAAAAATGTCTGTAGGCTGCAGAGACCATAGTTGGGAGCTACATATACCGTGAGCCACGTAAGTCATAGTTGGTCACATAAGTCGTAGCAGAGAACTGTAAAAATGCCCATAGGCCACAGATGTTGAGGTTGGAATCTGCATGCATTTCGACCCATGTAAGCCATATTTAGTCGCATTGGCTGTATTGGTGAGCTGTAATAGTTTATATAGGCTGCAGAGGCCAGAATTTGGAACTTCGTGATATGTAAGTCATGTTGATTGTAGTTGGTCACATAAGCTATAATTGTTAGCTGAAATAATTTATATAGGTTGGAGATGAGAGTTGTGTGAGTTGTGAGTCATGTAAACCGTAGTGGTGAACTATATTAATAACGTACGTGGGCCATGGATGTTGAAGTTGGCAAGTGCATGAGCTGTAAGTCACATATGTTGTAATTGAACATGTAGACTATAATGGTGAGCCATAATATCGTACACAGGTCACAAAGGTCAGAGTTGGGAGCTGCATAAGTTGTGGGCCACACAAGACGTAGTTGGTTGCATAGGCTATAGTAGGGAGTTGTAGTAGCTTAAACTAGCCGACATGTAGGCCATACTGCAAAGCTATGAGGAGAGAAATTCATAAGTCCAGAGTAGGTCACTCTATTATAAGTAAGACGGTTTTAAGCAGTTATTATGGTGAGTTACACCATATTTAGTGTGTGATATTGCACTATATGGTGGTTACCCTTTGCACTGTCTTCAGGGTGCGTTGTTTTATAATCTTTTGAGTGAATTGCTTTATATGATGCTTCATTATTTCATAAATACGATCGTTACTTTGTAAGATGCTTCGTTACTCTACAGCGTATGTCGCACTTAGGAGGATTAATTTCAATGAACAGGGGGTGATCGACAGTGGTCAACGACGAACTATGAACGGTTGTTGAAGGTGTTTGACGATATTGAAGCAGAAAGTATTTTCCTGGTCTTTAGTGCAAAACAACAATAGAATTCGGCTACTTCTTCTCCCTATTCTTCTCTAGCTTCAACTCTTCCCCCAATCAAGCTCTAGCTTCAACTCTTACTCCCCTCCCCACTATCATGAATGGGGTAGTACTCTATTTATAATGTCTAGGAGATTCTCTCTGCAAATAATGAATGAGTCAAAACCACTCCAATAGACGACTCAAGAAGTTCCCTCCATTAGACGGTGTTCTAAGAACATCTGAGTGACTTAACGATGTCAAAATTGCCTTATATTTGATTTGTTAGAATCATCTCAATGAGAGACTTCATTTTACTTGAAGCTTCTAAGATTTGAAATTTGTTTGACCCTCCAATTAACCATCCAATGTTTTCAAATGTCATTTAACGGCTTGATCCAACTCGAATTGGTTCCCGTTTCATTGAGTCTGTTTCGTCGGACAATCAGCTTGAATCTATGTTTGCTAAAATCGGAGTTTGAAATGACTTTTAATTTGAGTTTGAATAATTCTCGCTAAAAAAATATTTCAAGAATCGTGCTAAATGATAAAAAATATTAATGACATATCAACACTTGCTGATTGGAATTATATATTTCAATCCCAAATGAGACATCTATTTTTACACACACACACACACACAATGGATTTACATCAAAGATTTAATTATAAGTTAAATCAACACATCTAATTAGCCATAAAAATTAGACTTTAGTTTTTTTTTTAAATTTCATTTACAGATTACAAAGTTGAAAATCAATGCGAAATCTTTTACGAGAACAAACACACACACACGCATGCACCATGGATTACATTAAGGATTTAATTCCAAGTCAAATCAACACATCTAATTAGCCATAAAAATTATACTCTATTTTAAAAGGAACCTTCATTTACATATTACGAAGGTGAAAATGAATGACAAATCTTTCAAGAGAACAAACATCCAAGTTTACAATTATAATTATAAAGATATTATAATTTAATTGATAAGCATTCCTCAGGATTCTTTATAAAATGCCACAATGATAACATATCATGGTTCTTCTTGAATTTATCATTCGCAACTAAGTGGCACAGGAAGTACTTGATGCATTCTAAAACAAGACAGAAAGCAACCATAACACAAATACATTAATTAAAATCAAAAGAGTGGTCCAACCAGATGGCCAATAAAGACATCCAACGACAACTTAACTCGACTTCTTAAATTTTAAGAAAAAAAATGCATAACAACTCATATTATTGTTCCGACGAAACAGAGTATAGGGAAAAGTGGCTGCTTATGCTTTCGGACTTGGAGCTATGTCGCGAAAGAGAAAATCATTAATCTCATACCTCAACACGCAACTAGTACTAATAACATAACAGCCTAAGTGATATTTGCAATTCCTTGTCATAACCTCCAATAATGCATCTAAACATTGGTTGCATGTTGATTCTTGAAGATCAGGGGTACACTGTGCCATTCCGTAAATAGTAATATTAGACTTATAAACAAAATTCTCACCTCGACCAAACTTTTTATCCCCCGCAGCGGCGGCCACTTTCACTGTTTCTAATAATCTCCCAACAGCTTGATCAAAGTTCACAGGATCCGCTGCTATATGTGATGTATACCATACATTGGTATTTCTGGTGTCTAAGAATCCTAGGAAATTGTTTGAATCGTAACGAAGGAAGCAATACTCATACCAAATTCGCGCTTCAGCGGAAAAATGACAGATTGTTCGGATCTTATATGTTGCGTCTAAGATGCAAGCAGAGCATATCTCACGACTAATGTCCCCTCGACAACGAGTGAGACCATAAATAGTGTCAGTGCCTACACCATAGGATGCCGTAGCGGCGCCATAGAGAGCAGTCTTTGTTAAGAGGCCAAAAATAGCATTGTTGATGTTATCTTGCAGCAAGCTGTTGCTGCTTATGCTGAAGTTCTTACCACACTCCTGAAAGATGGAATCAGTGCTGCATCTTGCAGCTATTGGGAGGAGGAGAACTAATATGAAGAGTTTGCATGACAGCTCCATTGCTACTTTTGGCTCTCAATGAACTCATTTGAGCACTATCATTCACCTTTTATAATGAAGGAATTGAAGTAAATCATTTCCTGTTTCCTGGAAGTTGGGAGAGAGACATAGCTTGGCCTGCAATTTAAAATGCGTGTCGAAAGCTATATAATTGAATTAATAATTCCATTTTGTTATACAGATATGCTTTGCAGTTCACAAGTGGAAGGCCGGGAAAAATAAAACAATGTAATATCTGAGAGTGATGCAGTAGATGAACAATTTGGTAAATGCATTGGCTGGACAACATGGACTTATCCTACAGGACTTGTAGGATTTAAGCTTTATGTATCGAGATAGAAGGCTGGTTCGGAGCGATTGTTGGGTTACTAGTCTATTAGAAATTCAATAACAAAACTTCTAAATTGGATGACTTTTTCCAGATTATAGATTTAATTACACCATTGTTATAAGCAGAATATCCATGCGCACCACTGTTAGATCTATCAATTTGATATAACGTCTCGTCTCCAACATTGAAGGCTCGAATGGTTTCAGATTTTCTATGTTCATCACTGGGAAGATACACATGTAAGCAGACAAATCTAACCAATTGGCATTGCTTGTATTTGGGTGTCAATTCTGATGCTCCTGTATCACTTGATTACATACAACCGTGTTATTGGAATGTATTTAACATGATTCCTTAATAAGTGGTGATTATGAGAAAAAATTCATAAAAATACAAAAGTTCGACATTTGGTTCAAAAAAAAATTGACTTGATTCATGGAAGCCAATCTTGGTCTCACCTTGTTAGAATTAAAATTTAATACAATTTAAATCCTATTTGATCAAATTTAAATCTGCTAATACCAATATGATTTTTTCATTGTTCAAATATTTTGCTATGACAGTTCTGTTGCAGACACTTTTACTGTACAGGGGCAGAATGATCATTTGTGGAGAAACAATCAACTGTTTTCAAAAAACACAAATTAAACAGATAACCAGCTTATCCGGATAAGTTGCTGATCAGAAGCTTATTAGGATCAGAATAACTATACTTTTATTTCATATTTTTATTTATATTTTGCTTCACTTAAATATCTCTAAAAAAAGTTATATATATTGGGATTATGCAAACTATTGTTGTTTTTAATAAAACAATAAAACAATGACTATAAAATGATGTTATTTTTAACTTTTGGAAGATTTACGTACATACCATTCATTTCCTATCTATTTACATATCTAAAACCTAATCTTCAATTTTTACATTACATACCACCTTATTTAATTATGTATAAGCATATGTATTTCTCTTCTAGAAGTTAAAATTATGATATTTTTTATGTAATATGAATAATTTAGTTGGTATAGATGTAAAGATAAGACTTTAGGTTTTTGATATGTATATACATAAGAATTGGGTGGTTTGTTTGAAATTGGGCCTTACAATTTAGAGGTGGGGAGAGTAGTCTAGTAGAAGCTTACACACGTTTTGGAATTTTTCGAATAAAATTTAGTCCCACATTTGAAAGCTTTTTATTTATAGTGCTATTTAAATTCAAAGAAGTAACAACACTTTTTTGTGTACTCTCCTGAACAATTTGTCGCTCTGCTTCCTTAAAAATGGTGTGTTAAGTACTAAAAATTTTCTTCATTTTTGTTGATGTTTAAAGTTTGGCTTTCAAAACCAACAGTCTGGCAGCGTGCTGTAGGTGCTAATGCTGAAGTTTTCGCCGCATTCCTGGCCGATGAAGTTGGCGCTGCATCTTGCAATCATTGGGAGGAGGAGAAGTGAAAGGAAGAGTTTGCATGAGAACTCCATTGTGGAATTGGCCTCCCAATGAATTCATTTGGGCGCTCTCATCCACCTTTTATAATGAAGGGAATGCAGTCGGCATGGCTTGGCCGACCAAATTAAAATGCTTGTGAAAGAGAGTTTTCTTTTCTGATTAAAATGGAAAAATTTTGTGTTTGGGATGTTCAAAGAAGCATCAAGGGACGGCTGGAGTTATTTTAATAAAAAAAAGAAATTTGTAAGAGAAAACAAAATCATAAGCCAAAAATAAGAAAAACAACAATAACGAATCTACAAGATAGTTTTTAGTTAACTGTTAGATTTTCTTAATATTTATTTGACAACAAGAAAAATTTTACAAAACAATTATTTTTTACAAGGAAAAAATGGCTATGGAGAAAATAAAATGAGTGGCTGACAAATGAGAAAATGTTACCCTCATTAGGGTATCCTAGAAAGCTACTTTCTTAAACAAAATGTTATAACGGTAGACGAACAGGATCAGGACAGACCTCTCGACCCCAATTAAGGTATATGAGTCATACACCATTAATAAATTCTGTCAAAAGTCACCACCCCGCTAGCCGTCGAAGTCAGCGCTCCGTTGCCTTTCCGGCGAGCTCCGCCACCATCAACGAAGGAAATCTCCCTTTCCCAACAATCAAAACCCCATATTTTCCACTCCTCCCAATCCCCAACACCGCCTCAAGAACACCGCCCACCCCCGCACCCCCTGCTTCCGGCTTCCTTTCCTCGAACATCACCGCACCATCCGACCGCTGCCGGAACGTTGCCACCGCCACCTCATCCAGCTCTTTCTCCCTCTTCCCATCTATCACAGCCGTCGAAAATGTGTAGCTTTCTTCCAAACTTTTTTTCGCAGACGCCGGAGCATGAAGTCAGGCCCCTCTGCAACAAACCTAACGGCTTTAACACCGATGTCGGGATGCTCCGCCATCCTTCCAGCAAATTTCAGAGCCTCGCGTTCATCCGACGCTCCGAAAAATACGACGCAGATTTCTCGAACGGACCCAGCCTGTGCTAGTCCCCTGTCCACCAACACAACAACAGAGCACAGTGCTTTTCTCAGCACCCGTTGATTCAAAGCACGCCAGCCATGGCCCAAGTTCTTCACCTGTCCGCCGAGCCAGCGGTTGTAGAACGAAAGAATGATGAGCGAAACGCCTTTTTCTTCTGCAATTGCTAAGACGTCTTCGTGCATTATTATGATAGCGGAGACGGCGGTCATTGGCCGGACTCGAAGGCAACCCATTTGGGCGTAGGCTTCAAAAGTGAAGGTGATTTTGTCGCACGGAGAGTCACGGTGGAGCGGATTACGGAAAGTGAGGCGGTTGCGACGAGTGGGCGAGCCATTGTAAGGGATGAGGAACGTTCGGTTAGCTCGATTAGCTGAAGGATATAGAGTTTGAGGGAAGATTTTGGTGTGGCGCAACGGATGGTTTCGAGGAGGTTGATGAGTGCGGGGACGTCTCTGGAGCCGTGAATGCAGGTGAGGATGCGGAGTTCTTTTGGGTCGTCGGAGAAGGAAGAAGGTGAAGAAGAGGTGGCGCGCTGAAGTTTCCGGTGGTGGTTAGGGAGGCGGGTTGGGCGGGCAGGCTTGTAGAGCGCTATGACTGCTGGGGTTGTGATAAAGGTGAGGAGGAGGGCCATCGACACCCTTATGGCTAATATCTCGTCGTTGAGTACCTGCAACGGTTAAATTTTCAAGAAATTAAAAATTAAAGCATAGGATTAATATTATAAAAATGGGGCATTTATAGACATACCACATAATTGTCGTCTATTTACATAGCATAATTAAAATTTTTATTTTTACACATAAATATTGCTCAAATTGCTCAAGTTGTTAGCATCATACAAAAAATACATCGTTATTATAACTAAAACTTCAATTTTTATATATATCTCAAATTATTTATGAACAAAAGGTGTATTTAATGATTTTTTATATGATATTAAAATGGTAAACCGAAAATATTAAAATGTAAAATTTATGCGTTAGACATCTATGTTGTGATATATATCAGTTGTTGTTGTATATATATAGAAATAAAATAGGAGTACGATCTTTGATGCAAAAAAAAATAGAAGAAGAACAATCTTTGATGAGAAAATTCACACCAGGAGAACGATCTTTGATCATCAAATTGATATCCTCAACTGGCGGCGTCACCATTTTTCTTCAAACATGTATCTTCCACCTCTGCAACTCAAAGTCCTGTCTTCACATCAGAAGACCAGAGTAACACCCTTTGTTAACATATCAACATTGTCAACATAGCTTTGCACCTTCAAGCTATTTCCTGGATTACCCTTGTCTCTGCTCACTACTTCCACTGCTTGGGCAATATCATACCTCTGCTGAAAGTTTTTTTCAACAATTCTAGTCTTGTACCTCTTACTTCCATCACACCCAGTCTTCACCCGGTACACTTATTTGTTGTGTAATGCTTACAGTTTCTCTTTATGTGGCCAGCCTTGCCACAATTACAACAGGTTGTCTACCGACCTGACTTTGATTTTGATGTCCCTCTATTTGAGTTCCTGTCCCGTGATCTCCCTCTGAAATTAACATTCAGTGTTGAACTCGTACCTGAGATCTCACCAGAATCTTTCATGCACACCTCCTCAGCCAAAATCAAATCACGAATATCATCACATTTCAGTTTAGATTTACCTGCAGAACTGCTATCTGTCATCCTCATGGCTACCTGACCAAAGAAAAATATGTTGAGATTTTCATACCTATTTTATACTGTTTTTGATGATATTGCACCTTAATGAAAGGTATTTTTGATGTTTTGTTGCAGGAATGATGAATTAGGGCCATTGCAGCAAAAAAATGCAAAAAGGAGCAAATTTGGAACGAAAATGACCAAAATGTGAAGAATTGAACTAGGGCGCCGACGGTGTGCCCAACGGCGTCGACGGTGAGAATTTCCCTAGACTCCATAATTAATTTACTTAGAAGGTCAGCCGACGGTGCCCTCGAGGCCGTCGACGGAGAGCTTAACGGTTATGTCCAATTAGGCATTGAATAATGACAAATTTTGGAGGGGTGCTTAGTCAACTCTTGGGAAAGTTCATCCACAACTTTAAAAGAAGATTTTGGCCAAAAATTAGAGAGTTCCTGAAAGTTAGAAAGGTCCTGGAGAGGGGGGAGACTCAAAATTGAAGTGTGAAACAAGTGTAGAG